CTTAAATAAACAAGAAGTGCAATAAACCCGCATTGGGACGAGGAAAAGAAGGCTCTAGATCCAGGTGGTTAATTAAATTGCGCATTTAGACCCACAGAAAGACCGTTCCAGCGCTGCTTTAATTTAAGTGCCTAGTCAGCCATAGCATGCCATGTGCATTCGTATGGAAGCTTCTGGCAACACAAGAAGCCACACCCACATCTAGGCACTTTTTATTTATTTCAGCATGTCTTTATGCTGGAGGCTAGCAGCGAAAATTGTAATATATGGGGCACTGTGGACATAGGCTAGAAAAATACGTGCAGCGCCTCGCATCCTGCAAGGGAAAGAGCGCACGCATAAACACGCGCCTTCAATTGATTTTTTCTAGATCTATTGATCCATCGCGAATACGCATCACATACTCAGGCATTCCCGGGATGTCTGGCTTTACAATTTTTACGCTCCGGACACCAGCCTCCGGGGTTCTTTGTATGCAGATTTTGGTTGGCATGCAGTACTCCCAGGACACGCTCTGTATAGAAGAAACAGGAATGGCTTTCTTGAGATACTTCTGCAGCACCAAATAGCTGCACAGCTTTTGGTCAAGCATCCGGTGCACCTCCTGCCCGCCTTCTGTGCACATTCTGCCGCGGGTCGCCACTGAGTCTAAGCTAGGCGTTTCCGACACTATGATTGTTTTCACTTTGTGCGTGTGGTAGAGGCGCTTAAGACACTTCGCCACCTCTTCGTAGTTCTTTGTGCCTTTGGCGCATGGCTCCTCCAAGTCCTCTATTCTATTCACCACCACAAGCTCAACCCCATGGTCCTTTATGAAGCTTTGTATTTCCCCTGCCTTCAGCATGCATATAAGCACGTGTATGTTCTTTACTCCGCACACGTATATGCTTTCTAGGTCCAGACGCAAAGAATCAGCTCTTTTTGTGCTCAGTCTCGGGTATGCCTCTATCCACAGAGAGGTTATATTTCTGCTGACATAGAAGCAAAAAGAGTTTTTTCCAGCCCCGCCTTCTCCATACACCTCTGAAATAATTGGAAGCTCGTGGATGTTCATGCTCTCTTTATTTTGCGTATTTTTCTAGACACTAAAAGTACTTCAGTATTTCTGCGTACACTGGAAGCGTGGCTAAAATAGTAAAAAGAATGCCCGTGGTCATTAAAATGATCTTTTCAGGCACCTTTCCGTATAAGACGTCCTGATCCAGCACAATTCTGTACCCTGAAGGATAGACCACCCGGCCGTCTTTGTAAACAGGCTGGTTGCCTGTCGCCACTGCGTTGCTGATGTGCACTGCCTCTGCGTCTTCCACAATATTTACCCGAGAGTCTGTGCCCAGATAGGAGATCTTCCATCTAGTCCCCACACAGGGTATGTTCAGCTCCGTTCCATTGCAAATGATTTTCTTTCTTCCTTCGGTGTGGTAGTTATCAGCCCGCACAAGAGCTGCCAGCCCCACACAAAACACAACCAAGATTATATTCATTTGCCCTGTTTGTTTGAGCCATTATAAATATACAATAATACATTAGGCAAAATTGGACTTATTTATTCATAGCCAGGGGTTATCTGCCGCACGCCTGTTCCGTGCCCAGACTGTGTTGCGCCTTTGTTTGTTCCCATCTGCACGCTTATTATCTTTTTGCCCATGTCCAGCTGCTCTGCTGTAAACTCTCTGATGTTTGGGTCCGTAAGCTTTGGCCCGATTATTTTAAATTTGGACTTTGGGAACGTCTTCTTCAAGTTCCTGCTGAGAGAGTATAGGCATATGGCAACCTGTTTTGGATTCTTCTTCTCCTCGTGCACCAAGTCCACCGTCTGGAACAACTCGCTGTCCAGCACGCCTATCTCTCTGGCCGCGCGAAGGAATTGGTCAATGTTTTCCATTCGCTTGAAGACTACGTTTGAGGGCTTTGGGTTGCACTTTTTGGGTATGAACGCATTTATTAGGTTGCACAGAACAATCCCGTCTGCAAGCAGGTCCATAAGGCTGTCCTTTTCCTCGTTTATTTTTAAAGACAGTATGCTTTTGATCCAGGAAAGGAGCTCAACTTCGCTTGATTTGTTCATGAAAATAAATAAAAATGAATATAAATAAAAATAAATGATCCTGCTAGGTGGAATGCCCATATAAATATGATATTTAGTGCCCCACAAGGCCCAGAGCACGGGCGCGAAATTTCAAGCCAGCCCGAAAAACAATAGCTGCTCGGGCTTTCCCAAGGGCATGCGAGCACGGCATAAAAACGGCAGAGCATGCAGCACAGAACCGAGAGACCATTATATAGAATACCGAAAGGAGATTTTTCCACCCCCAAGTGCTCCCGCTGCGCCATTCATTTTCGAATTTCAAAATTTTTGCTGCACTGCAATGCGCATGCTTTTTCTAAAACACTCAGAAGCGTACAGTACTTTATTTACGTGCCTAATAGGCCAGTGGCAAAAACAGCACTCTTTCAGGAAAGTCCGTATGAAGCCATGCACTTTCGGGCTTTTGCTTATGTCAAAGCCTCCAGAAAAGAGCTCGATTCCAGCAGAGGGTGCCCAGACAGCTTGTAGCGGGTAGGGCAGAGACACTGCTTTTCTATTACACGAGGATCTTGTGCGTAGCTTTTATGCCTTCAGCCGCAAACCAGGGGCGCTTTGTCCCACAGGCCTGCGCTATGCACGCTTATCCTCTTTTTTTGCAATTGGGTGCTTTCGGGGAGATGGAAGCGACAGAAAACGAGTCATCATGCTGGGCAGCAGCACCAGAGCACACAAAAGAACGGCATTCCCTGCCCTTGTGCTATACTGCGCATATGCAAGCACTGCAGCAATAAAGCACAGAATGAAGTATGTGCCTAGCCTTCTATCTCCCCTAATACAGTTTCCCAGATACGTCCGCACTCCAGTGACTATTTCGATTATTTCTTGCATCCGCCCATCGGTGAAGTTGTTGTTCACGTACCTCTTCCCGCTGCTGATTGCGTCCTGGATAAGCCCCTTAATGGTTCTCACTCCGTGCTCGGTCAAGTCGTTCTTCAGAGCCGAAGTTCCTGTGTACTGCATGGAAAGCATGTTTGCATTGTTGTTCCACAGCTGCCCTAGCTTTTTGATGGACAGCTCGTTCAAGTAGTCGTCTATGTCCAGAACACTCCCGTCCTTTGCCATCTCCTGCAAAGACAAAAGCTCCACCAGCCGTATCTTGGACAGCTGTGACTGCACTACGTTTGTCCGGTCCAGGCAGTCCACGCAGTTTGTGCGGATTATGCACTTGTTTTTCAAAGCTTTTTTCAAGTTCTGCTTAAACTCCGCCTTCTTCTCCGCGCTCTTCATCATCCTGTGGTAGTCAACGGAGAGATACCCGCACCCCGACTCCTTCAAAAACCGGACAAACTCCACCCCCAGCTCTTTCTCGTGCCCTTTTTCATCCAGCAAGTTTATGAAAAAGTAGTCGCCATACCTTTTCTGCAGAACCCCCAGATGCTTCATAAACAGATGCTTGCTGAGGTCGGTGTTCCCCATCTTGACCGGCGGCTTGTAGGACAGGTCTATCTTCTGCTCCCACAGAAGAGGAATCGAGCCTCTGCACTGCATAAACTCGTACTCCTTGCCCTGGGCCTCAGCAATGAGGAGTGTTTCCACAGTGTTTGCTGCATCTCCGTTTGGGTCGGATCCTCTTGCATAGTACCGCGTCCCTGCATTTCGCCACGACCGCCGGCTTACAAGCGTGCATCGGGCATCGACTTTGCCCGTAAGCATTTCTGCGCCCACATAGCCCTGCACTAGCTCAATCCCAAACTCGCTTGCGTGCGGGTGGCTCTGCCTGAACTTGGAGAGCGGAATGTAGTTGTATATGAAGTCCGTGTTTTCAGAGCAGTTCGCCCCAATGTGTGCCAGCCCGCACTCGGAAAAGTACAGGCCAGGAATTTTGAAAAACTCCTCGATCATCCCCTTCACGTACGGGTCGCACAGCCCGTCAATGCATATAGACCCGCACGAGAGCGCTTCATACACAAAATGTCCCTGCAGCTCACCAACCTTTCTGTGCTCTTCCACGTACACCAGATACGTCCCTCCATTTACCTCTATTTCCCCGTACACGCCCAGAATGCGCTTTCCACGGCCTTTCTCTTCCTGCGTGCTTGTGCTCGTGCTGGAGATGACTCGGCCTTTCCGGAGAGTCCCTCGCGGGGCCATGCTCCCGTGTCTCTTTTGTATTTTCTCAACTACCTCCTCCTGGCCCGTTTGGTCCTCGCCCTCCGCATTCTTGCAGGCCTCGGTTTTCTTTACACGCGTAAGAAAAACCGTGTGCTTTCCTTCGCTTATAAGCTTCTGTGTACACTCCATGCAAATTAAAATTCAAATCGATTAAAATCCCCGTTTGCAATCCTGCCCCGAACGCGCACTCCAAGCTCTTTCATCTCAGGCCTTTCGTCATGGCACGCCTCGAACACCCCTAGAACTTTGTACCCGTTCTCCAGGAGGAGTCCGCTAGCCTTCTTTCCATTGTACTGCACAATTCCCAGGAAGGTGTCTGTCTTGCTTTCTCTTATTATGCAGTCCATTATTTCCACGGCAGAGTACACAAGAATTCTGTCGTTTCCCTCCGTCTTTGACTCTTCTATTAATATGTTTCTATTACTGTAAACAGCAGAATAAATAAAGGCCATGATTAATTCTGGCTTTTTTATTTTATTCTTTTATAGCTACCCCTGTAATGAGAGAAATTGTGCATTTACAGACAGGCCAGTGTGGTAACCAAATAGGATCCAAGTTCTGGGAAGTTATAAGCGAAGAGCACGGAATAAACGGAGAGGGAGCGTATGTTGGCCAGAACTCATACCAGCTGGACAGGGCATCTGTGTACTACAACGAGTCGTCAAGTGGCAAGTATGTGCCCAGGGCGGTTCTTGTGGACTTAGAGCCCGGGACTATGGAAGTGATCAAGGAAAGCGCGTACGGAAAATTGTACAGGCCAGACAACTTTATACACGGGCAGTCTGGCGCTGGAAACAACTGGGCAAAGGGCCACTACACGGAGGGGGCAGAGCTTGTTGACTCTGTGATGGACGTTATTCGAAAAGAGGCGGAAAATTGTGACTGCTTGCAGGGATTCCAAGTAACCCACTCGCTTGGAGGTGGAACGGGAGCAGGAATGGGAACGCTTTTGATCAGCAAGATCCGAGAGGAGTTCCCTGAGAGAATGATGTGCACGTTCAGCGTAGTGCCTTCGCCAAAGGTAAGCGACACTGTCGTGGAGCCGTACAACGCCACGCTCAGCATACATCAGCTCGTGGAAAACAGTGACGAGACGTTCTGTATAGATAACGAGGCGCTTTATGATATATGCTTCAACACGCTGAAAATGCCAAACCCAGGATACAGCGACCTGAACAGGCTGGTTTCGGTCGTGATGAGCGGAATCACAACAACCCTCAGATTCCCGGGACAGCTGAACGCCGACCTTAGGAAGCTGGCAGTGAACATGATTCCCTTCCCCAGGCTGCACTTCTTCATGGTTGGATTTGCCCCGCTTACAGCCCAGGGCTCCACAGCCTACAGAGCCAGCTCGGTTTCTGACCTCACCCAGCAGATGTTCAGCCCAAAGAACATGATGGCAGCTTGCGACCCCACGAAGGGAAGATACCTCACAGTTGCTGCCATGTTCCGAGGAAAGATATCAATGAAGGACGTGGACGAGCAGATGCTTGGCATCCAGAGAAAGAACTTTGCAAACTTTGTTGAGTGGATCCCCCACAACGTAAAGACGTCTGTGTGTGACATATCGCCTGCGGGCTTGGAGATGTCTTCCACCTTTATAGGGAACAGCACAGCAATCCAGGAGCTGTTTAAGAGAATAAGCGACCAGTTCAGCCTTATGTTCAGAAAGAAGGCTTTCCTGCACTGGTACACAGGAGAGGGAATGGACGAGATGGAGTTCACAGAAGCAGAGTCGAACATGAACGATTTATACAGTGAGTACCAGCAGTACCAGGATGCAACTGCAGAAGAGGAAGAGTATGCCTGTGCATAATAGAACACACACTAAGAATAAATCCATTTCTGTTATAGGTACATATTTGGGCCTTCTGCCTGTTCGCGCTTTGAAAGATGGAAGGCGTGCTTTCTTTTGCCGTGCTGGCCCGCACGGTTTGGTTTGGGCGCGGACTTTGCAGAAGTCTGGAAGCATTTTTCTGAATGCGTATGTGTCGGCTGCACGGCGCGCCTGCACGCTTTAGTATTAATAACGAAAACGCATGCAAATTTTTTATGGGTGAGAAGAAAAGGCTTAGCAAAAGAAGAACCACAAAAAGCAGAGAGAATTTGCGAAAGAAGGCCATAAAAGCGGACAGAGCCCAGAGGAGAAAGGAGAGAAAGCAAGAGAAGCGGACGGACTCTAATGCGTTCTACGCTGTGAAAACCGAGGAGGAAATCAGCACTCTTAGAGAGATAAGAGAGAGCGCAGAGAGAAGGCTGAAGCTGTACAACGAGACACAGAAGAACCGGCAAAAGACCGAGGTGAAAGACGACATATCAAAGAAGTACATCAAAGAAATACACAAAGTGGTTTCAGAGTCTGATGTTGTTCTGCAGGTTCTGGACGCGCGAGACCCCATAGGAAGCCGAGCCCCAGAAGTAGAGAAAATAATAGCTGCGCAAGGAAAAAAGCTTGTGTATGTGCTGAACAAAATAGACCTGGTGGACCGAGAGAACTGGGGCAGCTGGCTAGCCTACCTGCGAAATTACGCTCCTGCAGTCCCCTTCAAAGCGTCCACACAGTCGCAAAGAACCCGAATCGGGCACACAGAGAAGACAGAGCTGAAGGCCGAGGCATACGGAGTAAAGGACTTGATGGGGCTGCTGAGCAACTATGCAAGGTCTGGCGGGTCAGTTACCGTGGGAATTGTAGGGTGCCCTAACGTGGGGAAAAGCAGCCTTATAAACTCTCTGAAAAGGGAGAAGTCGTGCGAAGTAAAGAACACGCCAGGAGTCACCAAGATAATGCAGCACATCGTCTTGGCAGGGTCTATCCGGCTGATAGACTCCCCTGGAATCATATACAACAAGTGCAACCCAGTTAGTGCTGCGCTCAGAGCCAGCACTTCAGAGGTAGACCCGGAGGAAATAGCCGCGTTCATATTCAACAAAGTTGGCGGAAGCGCGCTCGCGATTCTATACGGAATAGCCGAGCCCCAGAACGTGGACCACCTGCTTATATCCCTGGCGGTCAAGTGGGGAAAAATAGCGAACGGAGGAGTGCCAGACAAGAGAACTGCGTCGTACATGGTGCTTCGAGACCTGCAGATAGGAAGAATCCGGTTTTCAACAAAAGTGCCAGCGGAGAGTGCGCAGCTGCCAGATGCAAGCGACGACTTGATCAACCTGGACTTGCACCAAAGCAGGCTTGGACAGAGCACACAGGCGGAGGGCGCGTTTTGTGCGAATGAGGATATGGCGTATGAGCCATTGCCTGTGAACTAGAGAAGTAATTAATAAACTATTCATATTTCGAGCAACGGGCATTCTTTCTTCCCGACAGACTTCTGCCAAGCTGGCAGGGCACGCTATACATTGAAAGAAAAGGCAGAGTGTTTGGCATGGCACGGTAGAGGGCATTTGCAGGCAGTTTCCACACGGCGTTTGCCCAAACGTGCACTCGGGAATCACTGCGATTTTAAGCATTACACACGGAGTCTCGGGTAGAAGGCTCGCGATAAAGCAGGCAGAAAGAAAAGCTCACCCCCACAAAAACTGCAAAGCAACAAATTGTATTTCGGGCTCTGCAGTGAAAGAAGCGTCTGTGCAAACCGCAGCAGGCAGGGGGGCGGCTGGCCTTCAGTGTGGCAGAATATCTCAGACTGTCCATGTGCTTTGGCTCTTAGAAAAGGGGCATATCTTTCTAAGGCAGCTCTTAAGAAAAAGGTGCCTTTCAAGAGCTGAAGCCCACAGAAATTGCCAAAAGCATCAAGCGCACACAAAAATGTCAGAGTGCATCAGAAACTGCTCTAAAGCCAGATCAGAGAACTGCGCACAACTTTTGGCATAAGTCCAGAAAAGCAGCTTCGCAAAGGCTTGGGGTGTGCAAGGTGCAAGCCAAGAAAGCACATCCGTGCTGGAAAGAGCCCGAAAGCTTGCGTCTGCGGTGGGAAATGCTCTGCTGCAATAAAAATGGAAAAGCAGTTTCTTAGGCCGGCTGCACAGATTCAGCGGCTGGCGAGTGCCCATAAAAAGCGCATGCTTCTCCAACCCCAAACATCTGGTGCTGAGCACGTGCTGGCGCCAGAAGATGCGCGCAGGCGTGCCCAAAGACCAAGGCAGAAATACGCCTCGGATTTTTTATTTATGATTATTAAGATGGGAAGTATTGAAGTGTTCTTCCCAAAGGATAAAATATACCCAGAGCAGATGCAGTACATAAAAGAGCTGTACGAGGTAATGCAAGCAAAGGGGCACTGCCTAATCGAAATGCCAACGGGCACGGGGAAAACGATTGCATTGCTGAGCTTCTTAGTGAGCTACCAGATACACCTTATGACGCAAGGCAAGGGCCACGAAAAAGTCAAATTAACTGGATTTAAAAGAAAAGAAGGCGTCTTTAAAATTGTGTACTGCACAAGAACAACTGCTGAAATAGAGAAGGTTCTGCAGGAGCTGAAAGAGCTGCATGCATACATTAAAGAGTACATTGCAGACCTTGAGTACACAGGGGTTGGCCTAGCTGCAAGGCGCACGCTGTGTCTCAATACAGACATAAACACAGAGAGCGCGGCGGGGATCAACAGAAGATGTAAGCAAGAAAAAGAAGGCTGCGAATACTACAGAGGGTATGTGGAGAGCACAGGCGGGATTCCCAGCGGAATACACACGCTGGGCGACCTAAAGGAGAGCGGGGAGAAGGGGAAAAGGTGCGCGTACTACACCGCAAGGTCCTCGATATTTCTGGCCGACTGCATTGTGTACACATACAACTACATGATCGATCCGAGAATAAACGAGCTGGTGAGCAACGGCCTGGGGAGCAACTGTGTGGTGGTGTTTGACGAGGCGCACAACATAGACAGCGTGTGTGTGGAAGTGCTGACTGTGCACATAAACAGAGCGTGCCTGGACAAAGCATGGAAGAGCCTCTGCGATATTTCAGACTATTCTGTTGGGCTGGCAATTAGCAAAAACGAAAAAGTAGCATACGAGTACTCGCACAGAAAAGGGATTCGGAGCGACTTTTCGTCTCTTTTGGAGGGGCACAAGTCCAGAAGAAAGTTTACGTCGGTGGTTCCAGGGTCTTTGCGCAGCATGGCAGGGTTTATATCCGCAGCCAAGCGAATAATTGAGTTCTTCAAGGCCAAGCTGAAGAACGTGAACTTGACCACTGAAACCACAGAGACTTTTATCAAAGCGCTTGAGTCCACGGTGTACGTTGACTTTTCGTCGCTTGTGCACCTGTCAAGAAGGCTCCGGGAGGTGCTGGGCGAGATGGAGATGCACGGGTTTACAGAGGACTGTGCAGAGCTCTCGCGTGTGTGCGACTTCTGCTCGCTGTGTGGCCAGTTTACACGCGGGTTTTCTGTTATTTTTGAGCCGTTCAATTCGTACTCGATATACGAGCCGGTTCTCCATCTGGCGTGCTTGGACTCGTCTATTGCGATAAAGAAGGTGTTTTCGGGGTACAATAATGTAATTATAACAAGCGGAACGCTCAGCCCCATATCTATATACCCCCGTCTTCTAGACTTCGTTCCTGTCAAGTCCGTGGAAATAGATGCACACTCAAAAAGGGGCCTTTGCGCTCTAATAGTCACAAAGGGAAGCGACCAGATGACGCTGACCATGGACCGAACCAACACAATTTCTAGCTCGTTTTCGCTGCGGGCAGAGCCAGCAATCGTCAGAAACTACGGAAACCTGCTCCTGGAAATGGCAATGTGTGTGCCCGACGGGATGGTGTGCTTTTTCCCTTCGTACAAGTACCTGGAGGAGGCAATTTCGGCATGGATGGAGAGCGGCATCATCCGGAAAATCATGGAGTGCAAGCTTATATTTGTGGAGCCCTTTGACCACGAAGAGACAGAAAGAGCTCTTGCAGGGTATAAAAGAGCGTGCGACTCCGGGCGCGGGGGAATCATGCTGAGCGTGGCGCGGGGGAAAGTCTCGGAGGGCATAGACTTTTCCGGGTGCTACGGGCGCGCCGTTCTTGTGCTTGGCGTGCCGTTTCAGTACACGGAGAGTCCTCGGCTTAAAAAAAGGCTTGAGTTTTTGGCAGATGAGTTTGGGATTCGAGAGTCGGAGTTTCTTTCCTTTGATGCAATGCGGCAAACAGCCCAGTGCATAGGAAGAGTTCTTAGATCAAATTCTGATTATGGAATGGCAGTTCTTGCAGACAGGAGATTTAACGTTTCCGAAAAGAAAACGCAGCTGCCCAGGTGGATACAGCGGCACTTGGAGGACTCGAACATAAATTTAAGCATTGACATGTCGGTTTCGCAGGGCAGGCAGTTTTTTAGAAGAGCGCCCAGTGCAAGATACTACAACTAATAAAGGAGAAAAAGGGGATTTGCAAGTCTCCAATGGAAGCGAGGAGGCTTTTTCCAATGCAAGCCCCGTGTATTTAAGTAATAATTTTTTACTCCGTATGCCAGAATTCAACAGAGACGAGAATAAATGTGTTATAACGGGAAGGCGGCGCATGCTTCCCTGCGGGATCTACTATGCAGTCTCTATAGCCACGCTGGGGCTGTTTCACGTTTTGTGCACGTTTTTCCCCAGAGTGCGGCTGTATTTTGAAACGAAGCTGGCATCAGTTGGAGATGCCGACATCTTAATATGCAATGGAAAAACCTCCGAAGTGCGCGAGGAGGGCGTTGGGCCCGAGGAAATATCGGATCTAATATATGAGTATGTGAAAAACGACAAGTACAGGTACGCTCTTGTAGAGGGCAGTCGCTACGTGTACAGCTGGCTGACCGACGACTACCACCCAACCAAGGATATAAAATGCATCGAGTCTCTTACAAGAAAAGAGAAAGAAATACTTTTTGGGAAAAATGAGCTGCCATCCCAGAAAACCAACACTCTTTTAATATTTTTTCACGCGCTCTTTGAGGGGGTAAATGTCTACACAATTTTTGGAATTATTTTATGGATCCACATAGAGTACTATATATATGCGTTTATAATATTTTTGCTCATGGGGTACAACCTTATGAACGTGGTGATAACAGAAAAAAACAAAAGCATGCAGTCGGATGAGATCTCAAGGTCAAAGAAGACCTGCTTTTTGCTGGAGAACGGCGTGATTTCTTTGATAAAGGAAACCGACGTGGTTCTGAACGACTGGCTTGTGCTGTTCCCACACAGCGAGGTGCCGTGCGATGCCATTGTTGTGGAGGGAAGCGTGGCTGTTGATGAGGGGTTTGTGACGGGAGAGTCTGTGCCCATTCTGAAAAAAGAAAACGCAGAGGTTCTGGCAGGGTCTATTGTGTTTCAGTCCACGCTGGAGAGGCCGCAGCGCGCCCTCATATCTGCCCCCCAGGAGGTAGAGAGGTATCTCGAGTCAAACAACTACTGCATAGTGAGGGCCATTAGAATTTCGTACAACTCTGCAAAGGGAAAGGCCTTTAAGAGCCTGGCGGAAGAGAAGGTCATAAAGCCGCCTGTGTACTTTGACACCGTGAAAATTATTGGAGTCATTTCTATCATGCTTATCCCATGCATGGCTTCTGTGTTCGTGTACCTGTACAATGAGCTGCCAATGAACAAGCTCGTGGCGTACATTTTCGACCTGGTGTACTCTCTTGTGTCTCCGTCCCTTCCAACGGCAATAATGGTTGGAATGTCCATTTGCGCAAGCCGCCTGATGAAAAAGAAAATTCAGTGCAAAAACATTTCAATATCGAACATCTCGGGAACAATCACAAAGGTGTGCTTTGACAAGACAGGGACGCTGACCGAAGAAGGGCTCGACATAAAGTGCATAAACATCAACGGACAGGAGGTGTTTTCCATTGAAGAGGTCGACGACCCGGTCATCAAGGCTGGGCTGTGCCTGTGCCACTCGGTCGAGAAAATAGGCGACAAACACATTGGTGACCCGCTGGATGCGAAAATGCTTCAGTTCACAGCAGGATCTGTGGAATACTCAACAAAAAACCAGAGGGTCCAGAAAACGGTCTTGATGGGGGAAAAAAGGATAGGCACCATTGGCGAGACGTTTGACTTTGACTCAAATCTAAGAAGAATGTCGACAATCTCGGAGATGGAGGACGGGCAAATCTATGCGTTTGCAAAAGGCTCGGCCGAGACCATCCACGCGATATCCAACAGCAAGCACAAAATAGAAGAAAACATGGCAATTGTGGACGGGTATGCAAAGGACGGGTACAGAGTTATAACCTTGGCTGGAAAGCCCATAGACAAGAGCACAAAAGACAGAGAGGCCGTGGAGTCTGAGCTGGAGGTTCTTTGCAACGTGGTATTTGAAAACAAGCTGAAGAGAAAGACTGCAGACACCATAGAGATTCTTACACGCGCAGGCCTGTCCAACATAATGTGCACAGGCGACTCTTTGCTCACCGCGGTGTCAGTGGCAACCCAGTGCGGAATAATCGAGCAATACGCTCCTGTGATATACCCAAAGTTTGCAGGGCCGGGCAGGGCAATAGAAAATGTAGAGTGGGTGTGCATCAATGACGACGTGGTCTTCGACAAGGTTTTGATGAAGGTCAAAAAGGGGCGGGACTACAGCTCGTACATTGACTATGTGATTGCAATTGAAGGGTCGCTGTTTGAGCTTTTCATGCAGTCCTATGAATACAAGCAGCTTCTTATGAGGAGATGCAAGGTGTTTTCGCGAATGAACCCAAGCCAAAAAAGCGCAGCTGTGGAAATGTATAAAAAGACTGACCTGGTGTGCTTTATGGGCGACGGCGCAAACGACTGCAACGCAATAAACATGGCAGACGTGGGCATTTCCCTGTCAAACTCAGAGGAGGCACTGAAGTACTGCTTTTCGTCGTACCTGTCGAACACAAAGGAGATTTCCTGCATCCTAGACATAATAAAAGAGGGAAAGTGCGCCCTGGTCACCACAGTGTGCAAAATAGAGCAAATCCTGATCATAACTATATCGCAGTTTTGCGCGCTGCTCATTCTCCTGTTCAATGGACTGTTTATGTCGGACACACAGAATATATACGTTGATATTTTCATAAACATCCCGCTGTCCATTCTCATGAGCCGGTTCAAGCCTGCTAAGAGGCTGTCCAAGAAAACGCCCAAGAAGAAGCTTCTCAGAAAAAGCGTGATCAGTGGGATGGCTATCCACTGCCTCACGCACACTATGCATCTGTTTATTCTGACAAGGTACCTAAAGCACTTGGGGCACACTGGCTTTGTTCCCCCCGAGCCCGAAAAGCTTTCAGAAACGTCGCAGCTGGCCACGGGAATATTTATAATTTCGAATATACAGGCTCTGTACTCGGGGATGGTGTACGCGCCGGGCGCGCCCTTTAGGCAGGGAAAAGGCAAGTGCAGGCTGTTCATTTGGTTTTACATATGCCACTTCACTGCAATTTCCATCTTTCTGGTGGCAGTCAGCAACACCTATGTCAGCGACAAGTACTTTGTCTGTGTAAAGAGCAGGAAAATATTTAACCTGCAGCCCCTTTCTGTAAACGCAGTTCTGTGCATAGTGGGGTTGGCAGCTTCAGACTCGCTTATTATAGAGCTGGTGTCGAAGCTGACCAAAGTCCTGCTGGCCAGCTAGGAGACAAAGTGCGCGAAATCAGCTATATTTAAGAATAAACAGAATTTTATAAACAAGGGCTGCCCTAGCGGATTTACGCTCCCAAGGAAGGAGGCGCCAAACCGCTTAGAGCAGCCAGCTTTTTAGAGAATCAGCCTGCGAACTTGCAAGAGTTTATACAAACAAGATTTTCTTGCAATTTTTAAAAAGAAATGAAAGCAAGCGAAGTTTTAAAGAGAGAAATAGTGCACAAATGGGCCAGAGAGATATCAAAGGAGATAGAGACAGAAAGCATTTTGATCCTAAAGTACGATCTTGTGCCGCGGGTGTGGGCTGATGAAATAAGCGAAGTGCTAATGAATGTAAGGATCAGGAATGCATGCACTCGGCTGACATGCCCAAAGACGTGCCCTGTGTGCGTGGCCGTGATAGAAGCGATGAAAAAAAAGGACAAAATGCTCTGCATCAACTGCAAGTCTCTTAAGCTGCTGTATGTGAAGATAATGGACATGCGGTATCAGCCGGTGAAAATCATAAGCATAGATAAGGGCGTGATGGGGTTTATAAAAAGCGTGGAAGGCACAGAGATAATAGGCTGCAGCGAAAACATGGTGCATCTGCCTCCTGCCATACACACGTTTTTCGAGCGCGTAGACCAGGACTACATGAGCCCGGTTTTGATAGTGAAGATGCTGAAGTATCTAGAGTACGAAAAAAGCATCCGAGCAGACCCAACCCAGCTGGAAGACATAATTCTTGGCCTTCGGGTGAGCTTTTTGTGCGACTCCTCGTACATAGAAACCTCGAGAATGAATCTATACCGGCAGAACAAAGCTGAAAAATCAGGTCTGCCTGGCTAGTTGTGCATGCAAGCTCCAGGCCATTGGAGAGATATCAAAACGTTTCATTGGTAGCTGCCCCTTTATAAATTCGCAAAAAAATAGAAAAATAATGGAAGAGAAGAAAATACGAGTAGTGTTGGATACTTGCGTTAAGGAGTTTGTTATTTCGGAGTGCAGCACGCTTGAGCAGGCAAAAGCTCAAATCATGAGAGCTTATAATGTGGAAGATATTCAGTTGTTTCACGATGAAACCCTTCTTGCTGACTCTTCTATGTACAGCAAGATATTAGCAGAGCTGGAAACTGTTAATATAAAGGCAATTGTTGGCATTGCAGAAAAACAGACAAACCAGCCGGAGGCAGAGCCCGAGCAAAACACGGGGGCAAGCGACACAGACGCCCATGCAGAGTTTCGGACACTGCCCTGCAAGGAAGAAACCGCCAAAAGTGGCCCTGTTGAGGAGGCGCATAGTTTGAAAGCAGACGCAGACGCCTCTTCTGTGGAGCTTCAGGCGTGCTTGGACGAAAATATTCTAAGCGCGACAAAAGAAGAGCCGAGCGCGCCAACCACAGGTCTGGAAGATGAAACCCAAAAAACGCCTTCTGATGGGCCAATTGTAAGCATCATTGAAGAGCTTGTTGGGGAATTTAAGGCACCAGAGCAGAGCTCCCTAGCAGAACAAGAGTCTCTCAAAGAAAAAAGTCCAGACATGTTAGAGAAAGAGAACGATAGAAGTACGCTGAAGTTAGGCAAGACTGAAAGTGTTGGAGAAGAAAAGGAAATATTAGAGGAAAGGTCAAAGTTTGCGCCCGCCCAGAAGCTTGAGGAAAACTTGGAACCCCCGCAGAAAGCTGCTGCAGAGAACATACTTGGTGCAAATGCGCAAGAAGAGCTTGCTCAGGAGCGCCTGTCTGAGAAGATCGTTGCAAATGAAGCCGATGCCGAGAAAAAACCAGACGATTCAGATCCAGAAGAAAGCGGCCGCGTGCGCGTGAAGATTCTGTCCACAAACCAAATATGTTCTGTAAGTAAAAAGAACCTGTTAAAGCTGAACGGAAAAACATACTATATACGGAAAAAAAAGCCATCCGCCATAAGCAGGATTTTAAAGGCGGCACTCTCCAGGGTTTCCTCGATTTTTGCCTATGCGATTGTCTACATATTCTTTTCGGTGTACATGAGTCGGATATTTATGGCATTTCTTGTCTGCGTTGCAGTTTTGTATGCTGTGGAGAAAATAAACCTGCACGTGAGGTTCCGGAAAAACCAGAGGATAAAGAACGCGCTAAAGCAAATAGCCTGCTTTGTTTGCTCGCTCTGGCTGAACCCTGGATATAATATGCGAATGCATGAAATAGAATGAATTTATGCGCATGCAGCAGACCAATGGGAAGCGCATGTGTAGCCATGCTTGTATAGTGCAATAAGAACGCATGCTTTGCGTTTTAAGCGTATAAAGCCATGCCCTTAAATGCAACAGATGGCCCATAGAGCCTTAAAATAAAGGAATTAGCTCCATATTTGTAGTTTATTTGTGCAGGCGCACGTTGAAGTTATTTATCCGCCGTGAAGTGTTGTTATAAAGTGCACAGTGTCCGTGTTTTTTAGCAATGTATTTTCTGCCTCAAGAATGTCCCAGTCAACCTCGTTTATTATGCACAGCACGCCCCCTTCCAGCTCCCCATTTGATGCAAAGTGCTTGTATCCTTCTTTTATGTGGTTTCTCTCGACGTACAAAACAAGGTCCTTTGCCCGCACGGATTCGCTGAGGCTTTCCTGGTCAGGCTTCACGTCGTTCAGATCCAGCAGAAGCGTTTCTGAGTTTACATTGTCTTCAAGTCCTCCTCGGAATAATATTTTCATTTCATTTTTTTCGATGCGAAAGCGTCTTTAACCAAAGCGCGCAGTGCATAAAAAGGCAATTTATTTCCGCCGTGGAATAAAGTCTGGATTTTTTCTGAACGGCCAGCACAGGATAAACATGCGAGCCCTGCCAGTTTAGACGTGCCATGCCCGAATTTGCTCAGGTAAAGACATTAGGCGAGCCCAAAGAAGAAATAGCAGAGCCAAGCCTGTGCTTTAAACGCCATTAAACGCGCTGCTGCTCTCAGACTGCATGTGTACCACGGGGCTTACACTCCGAGTTGGCTGTTTTCTTCTGCAAAGCAGCCCAGCACAGGATGTACCCACATCAAAGCTGGCGGTGGCTAGGCCTTCGCCAACGCATTCAGCATCTTGGAATAGGAAATGCCTGCCGAGCAAGATGCAGCTGGAGCTCCTTCAGTTACTGGGCGTGCAAATGAGGCAGACGCGCTTGCAAAAAAAACCATAAAAAGGCGCTGCTTACATTTATTCAAGTTGCCAACTAGAGAGGGCCTCGCATTGGCATGCGTGAGCCATAGAAGCATGTATATTTATCCTCTATTGACTTTTATGCTGCTACTGGGTGCCAGCCTCTTCCGGAGAAAACACCATATGTATAAGAAAATGTGTTGCCAATAATCCAAATAGGTGAAGTTACAACATTGAAGACCGATCTGAATATTACATGCCCTGTGCTCTCTGACGGGACTGGCCGCATGTATGGGGTTGTAAATATGCTTATAAACGACCCGTTACTAGAGCTGCCGGCGCTTGCCTGCGCCCCGCACATGACACATGTCATGTTCAGGATCGAAAGTATCAATAATGCAAATAAAAACAACTTGGTTTGGCTCTTTTTGAACATACCTTTCCGAGTTGGTCTTCTATATATAGACAAGTCTCAAACAATGATAAGCGCGTGTTTGGTTTGATGGGTGCATGCTCCATTTTTTTGGCAGCAAGTGTGGCCAATGAGTGCGCTTTTTGCGTGGCAGAGTGTTTTTGTGCAAAATGATTGTTTTATGTTGTTGTGGCTGCCCCTTGTTACAAAATAGACAATTGTTTTTGCACAGGCTTTCTATATTTCTCTCTGCCTGCAGACTCTATATATGTAAAGTTTGCATTTTCTTTTTCTTTTATGTCCTTCTATAATAACCAGAGCCAGCAGGGACTCAACTATAACGCGTCGCAAAACAGCGGAAACAATTCGCAAAATACAGGCCAATTTGGAATGAATCCAAACTCGCAGAATAACAACATGCAGCAGCAATCTACTATGCTAGTCCCTGTGCCATCGATGGGAAATGCGCAAAATAATGCCGGGGGCATGCAAAGCGGGAGCACGTTTGGCAGTTCCCTGGGAAGCATGCAAAACAGCTTGGGGAGTGCCAGGGGAAGCAGTGGTTTTTCAAGCGGTGGGCTGGGAAGTGGCTATGGAAGCGCGCAAAATGGCCCAAGCATGTTTGGGGGCAGCGGATCGAGTCAGTTTGGCCTGAGCGGGAGCCCGCAGGGCACAGCAAGCGGCCTGGGAAACACCTCGAACCCCAGCATGTTTGGTGCGAACTCTTCGCAGAGCGCAGCGGGCAGTGCGTTTGGCGGCTTCAATAGTGGCCAGCCTGCAGGGCAAAGCAGCGGAATAGGCTCGTTTGGGCAGAACAATAATAGCACTTTCGGGCAGAACAATAATAATAGTTTTGGGCAGAACAACAATAGTTTCGGGCAGAGCAACAATAATACTTTGGGGCAAACCAGTGCATTCGGCCAGAGCAACAACAACGCCTTTGGGCAGGGCAGCACTTTTGGGCAAAGCAACAATAACGCCTTTGGGCAAGGCAGCACGCTTGGGCAGAGCAATAATAACGCTTTTGGGCAGGGCAGCGGAATAGGCTCATTTGGGCAAAACAACAGCCTCCTTGGACAAACCAGCGCGTTCGGGCAGAGCAACAGCGCCTTTGGGCAGGGCAGCACGCTTGGGCAGACTGGCAGCACTTTTGGGCAGGGCAGCGGAATGAGCGCATTCGGGCAAAACAACAGCCTCCTTGGGCAAACCAGCGCGTTCGGGCAGAGCAACAACACATTTAATGGGGCAAACCAGTCTATGACAGCAGGGTCAATAAGCTCTTCAAACATTATCAACTCTTCTTTGAGAAACGCAACGGGCTCTACAGACGATGTGCTGTGCACAATTGACTATCTTGAAAAGGCCTATGACAGAACCAGCCCCCTTTATAAATTCACATACATCTTCTACAACCTGATGGATCCTTCAAGCCCTCCCCCACAGAGACCCAGCAATGTGCTGGCTGAAATGTGGGACCAGGCTGTAAATATGAACCCGGCTCCGCAGTTTTTGTATCCTGAGATAGTTTTTGGGTATGAAGACCTTTCTGTGCGGCTTGAGAAGCAGAAAACGGTTATTGAGAAATTGAAGGCCAGCAGAAAATACATGGGGGACAGGCTCAATGAGCTAGTCGAAGGCGGGATTTTGAGGCTAACAAACAAGCTGAACCGGATAAACGAAAAGTACAGCGCCTTGCTGGTGGAGGTTCTCGAGCATGCAGGAAAGTCGCTGGGCCCTGAAATAAAGAGCACCTCTTCCCAGTACACACAGCTGGAAAAGCGGTGCAACCTGCTGAGCGACGGGCTGGCCTCCCTGGCTGAAAACTGCTTGGCCTACAGAAGACAGTTTGACCTTTCCAAAACAGACCAAGCTATTTCCATACTGGAGGAGCAGAACAACATTCTTAATAACATGCTTGTGTCAGTGGGGAAGAAACTAGCAGAGTAAAAGTTCTTTTCTGGGCATGCTTCCACTGTTGGCTGGAGGGGCCAAAGCAGCGCCTCTGAACAGAAAGATGCAAAATGAATAATTCCAACCTGAACAATAAACATATATTAAATAGCAGCCCAGACACCGCGCCCCTTTCTAGAGCAGACGCTGCAGCTGGCATGTGCGGGCAGGCGTTATATTAGCAAAAACGAAACAACCCACATGTCTTTGTTTGGCGACACTTTTCTGACAAATCTTTCTGTGCCCTCTATCCTCCTGCCAAGCACCTCCTCTATTTTCTGCCGGGCGGACTCGCCTGTTTTTATGAAAAAATACGCATGCACTTCAGACTCTTCGTTGCTTATTGGAGCTGTTGTTTTTTCTAGCTCCACGAAGTGCTTCACAAACTGAAGCGTTAGCTCGGGCAGGTTCAGTATGTAATGGTTGAATCTTCCGCTGGCATGGGCTTCAGCCCTCTCGTGTGTTGCTTTCAACAAAAATTCCTCTGCATCCAGGTTGTAAAGACGCACCCGGCCCTCTAGCCCGTGGTTCCACTCCTTGCTTTCCAGATTGTCTATCCCCAGCACTTTTCTGTTCAGAAGAACACTTTCCTGGAAGTTCTTAATGCTTGCCGGGTTCAGGTCGTTTGCCCACACGCATGCGCCCTTGCTTAGCGCAAGAATCGAAAACGGGCCCACCCCGCAGAACATGTCACACACTGTTTGGCCTTTGTGGATTTTGCCCCCCAAAACCTCTCTTTCCTTTTGCAGCTTAGAGTTCCAGTACACCTTATCGTAGTCTATGCTGAATCTAAGGCCGTTTTCCTTGTGCACTGTTTTGTAGTTTGGCGCCCCTTGAAGATGCTCTATGTCTATGTTTCGAAAAACATTCTGTATGTTCGACTTCTTCCGGATGACAGTGCTGCAGTCCTTTATCTTGTTGAGCAGTGTTGCAGCTATTATTTCTTTGTGTTTCAGCGAGTCCTCCTTTAGGTTCAAGTGGATGATGCTGCCTACCCGGTTGTAGCTTGACTGGTACTCGCTTTCCTGAATGCCTGCCCTCTTGAGCAGCTCGCTGTGTGTGAAGTACTCGTACCCCAAAACAAGCGTGCACGCCTGCCCCTTTTCGCTGCTCGCGCCTAGGATAATCCACGTCCCATGGGGCTTCTTGCACGGAGACTCCAGCTCTATATGCACTCCTCTTTTTCTGTTGCACCGCACAAACATGCTGGAATTCACCACTCTGGGAACTCTTTCCATGTTTAGAAGCTCTTTTTCTGTTTTCAGCATGCTTTTTATCTGGTCCTTCTGGACTTCCACCACCCGGCAGGGTATTCTCTCCTCGTACTCCCCGTTTTTTATGCTTTCATACACGCTTTCGCACACCAAACCCTCGGAGTATCCGGTTGCTTTACAGTTGTCCATTTTCCATTAAAATATTTTATTGCATATACGCAGTGAGTGTCCCTGCACTGGCAGAATGTGGCTCCGCCCAGAGACTCCGCATGCAGCGTGCTGGAATTTTCGCGCACGCTTTCTATTTTTATTTATATTCCCCAGGCCAGCTGCATACTTATTTGCGAGAAAAACCCAAGTGAAAATATTAAAACACTACCGAATTCTTTCTAAACCATAAAGGCAAAAGCACAGACTGTGCAGAGCCCATATTTCGCAAAGCACACACGCACAGCCATAGAGCCCAGCCCGGAATAATGCTGCAGAAGAACATCCTCCAAATGCACATAAAGGAGCTAGCATATGGAAGGCCGCACTTCCTGAGCTCAAATTGAGAGACTGTGCTTGGGGCATATAGCAAAGCCTGCAGGTGCTCGGCAGGGAAAGCAGCGGTTTGTATTGGTGTAACATTCTTTATTAATTATGCAGTGTTCCACATGCTTTGGGCATGTGCATCTACAGCAAACTATACAGGCATGCGCGCTGGTGCAAAAGTGGGCGCTAAACACTGTATGTTGTCTAGCTTTTGCAGTTTAGCTTCTTTTTTTCCTGGTCTCTCTTAATATCCTTGAGAACAGCTCGCTCTGCTCTGGGGTGGCGGTTTGCGACATAAGCAGCTCTTTTACTTTGTTGTCGGGGATGTATTTGCTCACGCATGCCATAATGTCGGCGTCTGACAGGAGCATTTCAGAGGCGATTTTTTCGGCATCGAGCTCCTTGCTTTCTGGGGCCTGGGAAAATATAGACTCGAGCAGGCGATGTTGGCTTAGAAGCTTGAATTTGTAGTCTGTCAGCAGCCCCACTAGCTTTATACACTCACAGCTGTGCCAGTCCATCTTTTTGATGGTCTTGCAGCTGCACTTAAGAGTAACTCTCTTCCTCCGAAGAACGCGAGAAGCCGTATCCGCGCAATTTTCCGTGGGCCTTTTTTTCTTTGGGGATTCGCAGGAAGTTATTAGCCCTATGTGCATGGATTTTGGGGTTAGCGTTATATACTCTATCTCTGTGGCCTTTTTCAGAATGGGCAATGGGAGGCTGCACAGACAGTATGGAAACTCATCGCGCTCGCTGATTGCTTTGTGGTTAATTTCTGTTTCGTTAATCAAGCACTCTTTGTATATCTCTATGTTTTGGTGGATTGGCGCCTCTTCTTTGTTCAGAGCGTGCAAAAGAATCGGATAGTAGGGATTGAAGCCATTTTCCATTAAGTGCTAAAAATTTGCGAGTAAAAATAGAAAAAGCTTGCTATGAAGTTCATTGAGAAAGCAGAGGACAAAGCCAAGTCAATTTCAGCCGCAGAGGCCTTGATTATTGTGGAGAGAATCAGAATAGACCGAGGCGTGGACAACAACGAAGCACTGCAGAGCATTCTCCAGTATCTCAGGATGTGCGCCCCCTCTAAGAACTCGGTGTGGGCGGAAAGAGTGCGCAGAACCCTGATGAATGGAGGCCTGACAGAGTATGAGGCGTCTCTGGTTATTAATTTGGGCCCAGAGAGACACACAGACGCAAAGTCTCTTATTCCTTCTTTGAACAGGATAGACAACTACACGCTCGACATTCTCCTAAATGAAATAGGGGACATTCCCACCGGATGAGCGCGCTCCCAGCAGAAATAAAGATTTGTACTTGATTGAGCCGAAGCATGCTGTGCCTTGCAGAGCCTTTGTTTGGCGTTCGGCCAATGGCGGCATGAAACACTTAGTAAATACTTAATAGAGAATGCGTTTTGTTTCAACCATGAAAAGAAGAATGCTATTGCTAAGCGCAAGGGTGCTGCTTGTGCCGCTCCTGCGCGTTCAGGCTTTTTACAACGATAACACGTCAAGATGCCAGTTGTATGGAATAAGCTACGCAGACTGCCTTGGATCTGTTTACAGGCCCGCCTCTGCATATGACTCGTACATTAAAAGCTTCAATCTCCCCATACACAAAGACGATGCGTGCCTGTACTCAATATGCAAGATGGCCTTAATGAACACGGGAAGCGAGAGATACATAAGCATTGCACAGAACGCGCATCCTTCTGGAGAGTGCATATGTCTGGGCGCTGCCTCCTGTGGATGCGAGGTTGCTGCCGTTCCGGCTCCAGAAATAAAAACCGTGTTCGCGCTGCCAACCTACCGGATTCCCGAGCCAGAGAAGATAATGGTCACAAGAACGGTGAGCAAAACAAAAACCATAACTGTAAAGGTGACTGAAACTCCATCATATGTGGAGGGCGACCAAACATTGGTGGAGAGCTTTGACGTGCCGGTTGAGCGGTACATATCAGGCAAAACGCATCCAACACCGGGCGAGATGCTGTTAGAGCTCACGAAGAAGCTGGACATGCTAAACAGCAAGGGAGGCCTGACAAGCACAGAAATGCCTCACCCATCGCCCATCCTTCCCCCGATGCGCGAGAACCTGGTGCAGCCACCCATGCACTTCCCAGACCTCCACCCAAACGGGAATGTCATCACGATTCCATACTCCACCGTCACGACAACAGTCCAGAAAACAGTGCCTGTGTACAGCACGACTGTGAGAACACAGTATGTTGTAAACACGGTGGACAACTACATAACCGAGACAATCACGAAGACCCAGGTCAAGACCGAAACAAAAACAAAGACGGCCACAGAGACAAAAACACTCACGGAAACGATTAGCGACCATGTGGAGAGAACAAAGTTCAGCACAGTCTATGTCCCCAAAACGACAACCATAGACAAGGTCTCCACATACACAATGGAGGTTCCAAAGACCGTCACAAGCAGTGTTACAAAAACAATCACGCAGAGCGTGGCTCCCACCAAAGAGGTAATTATTCCTTCGGCAAGGCCTATAAAAATCAAGAAACGGGTTCCAATTGTGCTGCAAACCAATTCCAGCCCCTCAGCCCCTCAGAAAAGCAAATACTTTATTGTCAAGAAGGAAATAAAGAACAAAATGGTGTGCAAAGGCGGATGCACAAATCCAAGCACTGTTTTGTCAGGCGAGTGCCCTATCGACGCAGCGGGGAGCTGTATGCTGGCGCAGCAGCCAGGATTTAGGCCAGCGACTCCTGTGAATAAGCTGGCGCCAGAATGCAAGGACGTACCCTGTATAGACACGGTAAAAACAGTGTATGTAAATGCCATTCCCACCCCGGCCCCCGCCTACACAGCGTAGATCCTCCATATTCCATGCATTAACAGTAATAAAGACACCCGAATTTAGCGCATCCTTTAATTTGCACAGGCCAACCCCGCCCGTTTGCAGACTTGCATGCTGGCAACTGCTGCACTGCCGCAGGAAAGAGCGTGCCTGTCTGTAGAACCTGATTTCTGCAGGCAAACTTTGCACGCGTTTGGAAAGAGGCAACGAATGGCGTAGTTTCTGGAAAGCGCTGAATGGCTCAAGTACAAGCATTGGCGAGTTCTGTGCGGTTTGTGCCTGCTATTTATCCTGTCCATACACCCACAAGTGCGCGGCAGCCGAAGTCATGCGGCACATATATGATAATAAAGTATTTAAATATTTTGTATTTTTAAGAGTCGAACTCTGGAGATGCTGGAAGTAGAGGATTTATGCGAGGCAGGGTTCTATGGAATGAAACTGGAAGATTTAAACAAAAATGAGATAAGAATGCTGGTAGATGCAGGCTCTGCCGAGGTTGTAACAGAGGCCTCGGTCAAGCACGTGGAGGAGACTTTGGACCCATTGGCGTTTGTAAAAGACCATACTTTCCACAGAACGTCGTATGTGCGGGCTACAAACAAAGAGTTCACAAAGCACATCACCAACGGCCGGCTGAATTTCAACTGCCCAGAGTACTACTTTATATTCCACGAGCTGCTTGTGCACAGCAAGCCGGTGAGCTGCAGCGAAGTCCGGATTAAGCTTAAGATAGGCGCGAAGTCCTTCTTCTACTTCATCAAGAAACTGGTGAATCTAGGCATAGTCGAAAAGGCAGGGAATGCTATATCTATATCAAGCAAGAAAGAGCCTGTCCAGAGCGAGCCCTTGGACTATCCGCCGCCAACACACTTGCTGAAGCACGTGCCTATTTACACGCAAATAAAAGGCATGTTGCTAGGCCCTGATGGAACCTCAACACAGATGATAAAGGAGCGCCTGGGCATAAAAAACCGGCAGGCGCACGCTGCGCTGCGGCACGTGCTGTGCGAGTTCAAGGACCAAATAAAAGTGATGACTGAGTTTGAGGGGAAGACGCGGCGGCTGAGGTACATCCTGAACGAATACTACGAGCAGCAAAAGAAAAAGTTCGAAGAAAAAACACACGCAAGCACGGAAGGGGCGCTAGAACCGCAGAACGAGTACATAAACACAGAAATGCGCACACAGGCTATTGAGGGCCTGGTGCTGAAAGAGCATGCGATTGTGTACAACAAAACATTCCACCAGAAAATATCGGAGGTTTTGGGGAGCAAGCACACAATAGACAAGAACACGGTTGTAAGAACAGCCAATGCCTCCAGCAAGATCGACGTGGTTCGCGTGTACATAAACTATCCGTCGAAAACCATCACCAGAAATGTCTTTAAAGTCGCCAGCATAGACCCAACAGACGCTGCAGTGGTGGAGTGCATACGGAGAGAGGGCCACCGGGCGTTCAGCATAATCACAAATAGCGGGGTGGTTGATTACTCGTATCCCGACGACGAGCACAGCCCAGGGGCATTTACACAGGAGGACCCACACAAGCTGCCGGCTGAGTACAAGAAATACTTTAGGGGCATCCTGTTTTCGGCGTACAACGACATGTTCAAGTCAGAAAGCAACGGATATTTGATAAAAAAGCAGGACAGGATGCAAGTGCTGCAAAAGCACTGGAGGGCGTCGGGGGCGGTGGTGAGCAAGTCTCATGAAACAGTTGACAATCTGCCCCTTTACGTTATTTTCTCGGTCTTTCCATTTTCGACCCAAAACATACGGGACAAAGTGAAGGCATTCTACGAGGCAAGAGAAGAAAACTGGGAAGTGGCCACGTATCGAGACCTTAGAAAGGAGTCTCCGGTGGAGCTCTCTAAGCACTTCACGTCCAAAAAGTATCTGAACGAGCTTATGGAGTACATAGGCGAGATGGTGGAGGACGGAGCCCTGGAGAAGGCCTCGGGCGCAGAAGGAGCAGCAGACATGTACAGAGTGGCTCTGAGCGGAGAAAACGAGGAAGGCGCCGCCCCAGAGAAAACGGACATGCCAAAAAATGCTTTCTTGGAGAAGGACGAAAGAGAGGCGCTGTACAGCAGAATGTGCGAAGAGATGTGCATGCGAGCAGACGGCCAAATGAAAGACGCGCTTACCAGACACGTTGCAATGGGGGTGGGCGTTGACGTGGTCATGCACAGCGAGCATTGCGAGCAGGCCAAGGCCGAGATCATAGGCCTGTTTGTGAAGAAGCAGTCGTTCAAGAAGGCGTACATTCTTAGCAAGGATCTTTTGAAGATGTCTCCTGAAGACTGCACGCTAGCGCATGCAGGGCCTCTGGAAATAAACAACAAAGCGTACCCGAGAAAAACCGTGCTAGAGTGTATCCGGGCAATAAAAAAGGCGCTTTGGACAGGGCAGCCTGTTTTTGTGCTTAGCGAGCTGAGTGCATACGACTATTTTCTCCTAGAGTATCTGACTTTGTCTCTCCGCAGCCAGAATGTGCTTTCCTTCTCAAAGGCCTCGGTCCGGAATAACGTAGCAGTGAAAATCCGAATAACCGAGGAGTACAAAAAGTCGGTCGAGTACATCAAGAACACTGTGTACTTGCAGAGCACAGAGAAGCCCGCCGGCAGAGCAGGCTCCGGCCGCGAAAAAACATATCTGGAAACATTTGAAATCAGCTCTATTACGAGAATTTTTTCTCCAGACCAAATTGTATTCTATACCTCTGCTTCTCTTTTTCTCTACTTAGCACACAATGGAACAACCTCCATAAAGAAGTTGACTAAAAAAGGCTTTATATCCGCAATAGAGATAGAAGACATTGTGCAGATGTACCCAACCGTGTTTTATATACAGAGCGCAGCGCCCCACGAGAACTCTATAGTGGGTCTCAAATAGAAGTGACAGGCTTGCGTAATGCCCCACAAGCAAATAAATTGCATTTTAGGCCACACACAGTTTACCTGCACATGAAGATATAAATAGCCCAGTATAGGCTAGGTATTACAAAATTTAAGAGTGTGTTTTAGCATTAATTGCCTGTGGCAACCATGTTTATTATGCATATAGCTCAAGGCAGGGTGCAGAGTCCTACTTTGGGCTGGGGGATGGCTCTTCCACTGCCATTACTGCTGTGCACCTGTTGGGGAGCACATGTGCACAGCTTTCTATGGCAGCCTGGGGAAGCTCATCGGATTTTGCACTTTCAGAGAGAGGCTCTGACGATTGGCAAGAAGCAGAGGCTTCTGCTTGTTCAGACTCTCCGTCTGTAGAGGAAGGCTCTGCGAGCTTTGGAGGTGCAGGTTTCTCCTTAGCATCTACAGGCACGAGCGAAAAGTCCTCTTCAGTAGCGAAAGATTCAACTGGCACAACTAGCTGCTCAATGGACGCAGATTCAGCAGTCACAGTTGGCTCAATTTCTTTCTCATGGTTTGCAGGCTCGGTAGCTTCAACTAGTTCAGCGGGTGCAGATTCAGCTGGTTCAACTAGTTCAATGGGGGCAGCTTCAGCTGGCTGCTCAATGGATGCTGATTCAACCGGTTCAGATTCAACTGGCTGTTCAATGGGGGCAGCTTCAACCGGTTCAGATTCAACTGGCTGTTCAATGGGGGCAGCTTCAACTGGTTCAACTAGTTCAGCGGAGGCAGTCTCAACTGGTTCAACTGGCTGTTCAGCGAGGGCAGTCTCGACAGTCTCAGCTGGCTGCTCAATGGATGCTGATTCAACTGGTTCAACTGGCTGTTCAATGGGGACAGTCTCGACAGTCTCAGCTGGCTGCTCAATGGGGGCAGTCTGGACAGTCTCAGCTGGTTGCTCAATGGATGCTGATTCAACTGGTTCAGCTGGTTGCTCAATGGGGGCAGTCTCGACTGGTTCAGCTGGTTGCTCAATGGATGCTGATTCAACCGGTTCAGATTCAACTAGTTCAGCGGGGGCAGATTCAGCTGGTTCAACTGGCTGCTCAATGGGAGCAGATTCAGCTGGCTGCTCAATGGGGGCAGTCTGGACAGTCTCAGCTGGCTGCTCAATGGATGCTGATTCAACTGGTTCAGCTGGCTGTTCAGCGGGGGCAGTCTGCTCTGTGCTTTCTGGCTCAATTGCAGCTTCCTCCTGAACAATAACTGGCTTGGGGTTCAGGAAGTTTTCAATTTCTTCAGTTACTTCGATTTCGCTGACAAAGGACTCCATCTGCATGCTGACTTCGATGTTGGTGCCCGTTCTCTTTAGATTCCTTGTGTTTTCCATCAGGCTTATAATGTGTTTTTTCACCTGCTTTACCACATCAAGAAGAGCAGTGACATTTCTTGCGCTTCTTAAACAGTCTCGGTCGTCTACATTCAATGGGCCCAAAATGGCATAGTACATGTTCACGTATGTTCTGCGCAGGCATTTGTTCTTTCCTAGCCAGTGTCTAACGTAGAGGCTGGGATCAAGTGTTTTGGCTATAAGGTATTTGACGGTGTTTCCACTAAGAAGCGGGCTGTCCTCGCTTCCCTGGGAAAGAGTAGAGCAGATAGACTCCTCCAGGTTCTCCAGCTCAGTGCGGTCCCCGGTCTTGTTCTCCTTTAGGTGGTTTAGCAAGACAATTGGCATAGTGAAGTCGCTGGTCTTTGGGTTTGCATTCCCAAAAATAGCCATCAGCGCGTTGAGGTATTCTAGCACCCCAGCAAACACCTCTGGGCTTTCCTCCATCTCAGCGCCCGAGGCATTGGAGTTCGCGTCTGCACTCGCCTTTTGGGATGGCCCCTCTGCTTTCTGCACACCCGCAGATGCCTTCTCCCTCTCCAAGCAACTTGAGCAAGTCTTCTTTCCTGCGCCTTTGGTAGACTTTCTCTTTTTGAAAAGATTTATAGTGTACTTGACTGCCTTCGTGATTCCTTTTTTTGTACTTTTGGGAATCTGCAACAGTGACTTCTTGCATCTGCGGTAAGCAAAAGCCAAGAATGGTCTTTTTTCTTTTGATGTCTCTGATTGCATGGTGTGATGATCATCTCTTTGCATATTTATACCCTAAAAACAAATGAAGTGCATTATTAATAAGCAAAAAGATCCCATGCAGGGGGTCTTGGATGCTTTTGTTTTTGTTTGTTTTTATTGCAAGCGCGGGCCTATTTTTGACTTCGACGGATCTTTGCTTTTTTCTTCCGCATATAGAATCATTTTTTCTAATTAGCAAGTTTTTTGGGGTCATTTCTTGTAGAAATGTAAACACACCCGCGGCATTGCGCTCGCCACAGACTTTTCTTGCACACAGAAGGGCAAGGCCTTGGCGCTACACATCTTGCCCAAAGCTCCCTCTGCCCGTTCTTAAGATACTGATGCCCGCGGCTTTGCTTTAGCTCATAGCATGAGTGGGCCATCAAGCAGCATCCTGGCTCTTATGCTTGCGGTCTGTAACTACAGGCTTTTTAAGCTCTGCGCCATGCTAACCATGCATGCCCTTTTGGATGCGCCACTCGTCCAGACACAGCGTGAAAAGCCTGTACTGTGCTTCTTTTCTGCACGCGTACACTCGCAAACACTGCAACCACGCTGAAGTTGCGCCTTTAAAACATAGCAAAGAAGAGCCGAACTAGCACACAGGCAAAACTTTTATTCTGAATAACTACTATAGGCTCCCCTATTTGCTTGTAAGTATGGCCCAGGCCCGAACGCAGAAAATTCCCAGCACGCGCACAATAAAGGCGAAACTATTCTGCAATGGCCTTCCAAGCCTCTCTGCCTCTGCCGATCTATCCCAGCAGCTCCAGTTTTTTCAATAAATACCTATTCTGCTCCTTCAGCAAATAGTACTCTCCCTTTAGCTTTACAATGTTCTGGACTGTGCCCTTCTCCTTTGCCTTCTCCTTCAGACTCCGAATTCTTTCCAGCATGGCCTGCATGCTCTTTGACGGAGCCTCCTGGTTTTCCTGAATGCTCATGTAGATGTCCTTGATTTTGGATATTATTTCCCCCACACGGGATATTATTCGGTCGTTGTTCTCGGCAATGTTCTCTATTTTTTCCTTCGTGCTCTTCTCGATCCGCTTGATCTCCTCGCTGGTCTCCTTTATGTATTCGATTTTCTTCTCCAGCATGATTCCAAGCGAAACCACCCGAAGCACCACGTCTTGCTTAAAAGAATTCAGTATTTTCTCCAAATACAGCGCGTTTTCCTCCTCTGTGGCATCGCGCACAAAAAACTCAATTTCCTTGTACTTCTCCAAGTACCGCATGCTTTCGTCAAGGACAAGCTCCTCGCTTCTCTGCAGAGCCTTTTCCCTGTTCATTTCGATTGAGCTTAGCTTGTACTCGCTTTGCTCTGCCTGGTACTTTACAAGCCTGGAAGGCAAGCCCTCAACCAGCATAACCCCTTTGTTGAGAACGTGCACCTTCTCTGTCTCCTTGACCTGGAGCACCACGGCTGGGCACGCGCGACCCAGCTCGACTATGCACTCCACAGGCACTCCGCCCTCCATGCGCTTTTCCCGCAAGAAGACCCGGCCCTCTGCCTCTAGCCGGTCTTCGGAGTTGATGACCTTTCCCGTGGTCTTGTATATGTACAGAAGCTTGTAGTCTTCTCCCTTTTCGCCATACACCTCCACCCCGCTTGCGTACTTCATAATTGCGCCCCACGATGTGCATATGATGTCGTCCAGCCGCTCGCTGCAAAATGTAACAGGCTCTGGCTCGATAAGCACAGGCCTCTTCACAAAGACAGGCGCGCGCGCATCCTCGCCCTCCGCCACCAGCCTTGCGCTTTTCTTCTCCTTCAGATCCAGCCCCACCTCCAGCACCTTCTCCTCCAGCAGCAGCACCCTTTCCCCCTGCCGGGCCAGCTTTTTTATCCGGTACCTGCATATGAGCCGATTCTGCGCCATTTTGTACCTCCGGACTTTTGTGTCGTTTATGCTGTATATGTACACTTCGTTCAAAAACATGCTGACAACCGTATACCCATCAACAAGCACGCGGGTAGGTGTTTTTGGGAGAGTAACTGTCGCAGTGTGCCCGATCGCCGGGTTGTACACTGTTTGCGTGTTTCCGTGCGTGAATATTATATACTCGCCGTGCACAGTTGCTGAAATCTTGCTAAAAGAAGGCGAGATCGACGGAAACGCATATTTTTCCAGCGTGCCTGCTAATGTATATTTGTAGATGTGCGTGTACGAAATAAAATACATTCCCGTCTGGAAGGCGGCGCTTGCAAAATAGTCCACAGGAAGGGAACACGGCAAAACTTCTTCAACAATCTTCATAGTCTTAAATAAAATTTAAAATAAATAATATGCACACAGCGCTGCCGATTTATTACAGACAGAGCGCAACTCCTATGCAGGCCATTTCGTAAGTCTGGAATGAGCCGCGTATTAAATACTTTTTTCTTCTAGCGTGCTCAGAAACTCTTGGTCAATGCTCACCTCCTTGGTCACCTTCTTCCATGTGCAGTAGTCGAAATACAAGATAAGCCCAGGCTCTATGTCTTTTTTTATGATCTGCACGAAGGTTTTCATCTCCTTGCTATACATCCAGCCCAGCCGAAGCAGCCTGTCATACGCGTCCTTCTGCGCCCTTTTCCCACAATGGTTGAAAAACACATAGAAGAGCGTTCCCTCCGAGAACTTATCGATTTTTTCCTCCTTGGTTCCGCGGATTGCCGTTTTGTAGCACTCCGGGAGTATTCGGTCGATTTCTCTGTCGTACGGAAAGACCCTCCCGTTTCTGTCGTTTGCCAGGTGGACTTCCAGCGTGTCTATTTTCAATGACTCTCTATAAATGTCTCGAAACATAAAATTAAAATTATGGGAAGATGCTCTTATGCTGGAATTGCGCGCATTTATTAATTTGCAGAAAACACTCAAGGGGCCGCGTGCTTTGGGATTCCCTCAATGCGGCTGGGCAGAGAAAAGGCATCTGCCCAGGCCAGGCGTGCTTCCTGTACTTTGTGATATTTGGGGTGTGCCAGAGACCTGGCGTGGCTTTGAAGAGCGCCTGGATGGAGTTGCAGCTCTAGATTTTATGGGCGCGCACAAAATGCACATGCGTTTGCTCGTTTGAGGTGGGCACATTTTGCACGGCCTCTTTCAAAAACAAGAGCAGCGCGCCAGCAGGCAGCAGGAAGCGAGCGCTGCACAGAGCCAAAAAGTGCTGTGGGCGCAGGGCCTGTGCTAGAGACTGGCTGGAGTGTGCGGGGCTTTTCTGGAGTGCTCTTATAATTTTGAAGAACCAGCTAATTAGTCGGTATTTTATTCTTATAATATACTGCTAGCTCTTATATAAACTACCTGGTTGTTTTTTCTCTTGGACAGGGAAGGCCGGTTGATTACATATTCCGGGCTGTCTGAGGTCGTGGTATATTCAATCGGGGAAATTGAGTGCTTATAGACAACAGTGGGCCGGGGGGCTGGTTCGGCTTCGACATAGTGATGATGTGTGTGCGTGTGTCGTGTTCTGGGCGGCTCAACCTGCAAAATTTCTGGATCAGTTCTTCTTTCCAGGTCGCGCAATGCTCTTTCTATTCGCATCAGCGCCTCTTTGTTCCCGGTGTTTGAGTGCGAAATATACGTAGGCTCGTTGTTTGGCTGACTCCATGGAACTTGGATCGTATCAGAGGCGCTTGCGCCAGGGCTTTTGGTGGACAAGGCTGGAGAAGAGTACTCGCTGGGGTCCGTGTATTTGATTTCAGGCCTCTTCTTGGACTTTTCCCACCTAAAGTTTCTAAGCCTTTCTAAAAAGCCCTCCTCCTCGATTTTTTTCCTCTTCAGATCTTTTATCTCTTTCTGGAGCTTTTTCTCGCTCTCCATAAACTGCGTTTTGAGCTCACGCTTGAGCATGGCTTTCTGCCTCTTCAGCTCTTCCTTCAGCTTGTACAAGTCGCTTTTCTTTTTCGAATGGCGGCTATCGCTGGACGAGCTAGAGTCTTCGTCGTATTCTTTATAAGGCTTCTTTGTTTTTTTCGCCGTGCTAATGCCAGAAGGCTTTATGGGCTTTATAGGCACAGTTTTTGTGGGCGCAGGGTTTTTTTCCATAGCTGTGTGGCTTGGGACACTCGGCGGAACAGATGCCACAATGCTCCTATTCTCAAAGCCTGAACTGGCATTAAAGGACCCGGTGATGACGCCTACATTAGTTGGGGCAAGGCTGCTTGCCCGTGTGCCTATAAATCCGGCGGAAGAGGGAGACGCCTCGTTGCGGCAAAGCATAGGCTGCTTCAAGCACATATCGTTTATGCTCACGTTCGGGCCTATGCTTGTGTGCACTTCCGGGGAGGTTCCGTCCTTTCTGATGACAATTCTGGATATCATGTCGTTAACCGTGTTTCCATGCTTGTCTGTGCTCCCTATTGTGATGACTAAATTTGGAAGACCGGAGGGCGCCGGCGTGTCTGTGGAAATGTCGTGCGGCGGCATTACTTTAGGGCTCGGCATAGGCTCATGCGGCAGGATAGCTCCATGCGAAAACGCTTCGGCCGCGTGCATGTCGTGCGCCAGCATTACATCGTGCATGGCCACGTCGCGCGGTGCGTCGTGCAGCGGTATCCCATGCGGATGCATTTCAGGAGATAACCCTCCAAGCGGCAATGGCTCTAAGGGGCTCGACTCAACAGGGCTGGCTGCGGAGGGGAGGCACAGAAGCAACGACCTATTTCCGCACAGGCTCCCCTGAAGGGTCTTCGCACTGACTTCCTGCTGGGCTCTCTCCATCATGATGTTTCTTTCGTGCTGGGTCGCCGCGCTGGAGTCCATTGAGTAGGTGTATGCCGGCCTTAGAACTGTGGCAGAAAGCAGAGGCGGCTTGGGTGTGTTTTGCCCCATCATCCAAGGCTGCCTTGCTGCTAGCTTGCTCCTGTACAGTCTGCATATGCTGTTCTGCAGGGCGTTTAGCTCTCCCATTAGATTGCAGTACTGCCAGTTGAATGTGCACTCGATGGCTTTTAGCAATAGCCCGGCTATAAGGTTTCTTCTAATTTTCATGAAGTGTCAATTGCTTATTGCTTAAATTGTGGCCCTAAAACATTCTATGGGCAGTTTTAGAGTGAGCCAATCGAAAGGCCAGTTTTGCATGGGTTTGTTTATTTACAATCGGGCCGAAGTTTTCAATTAATTCGTATTTAATAATTTATTTTTTATGTATGAAATAAATGGGCAGTGTAGTAAGTAATATTCTTAGTGCTTTTACTAAGAAGACGCCTAAAAAGGTTTTGATGCTGGGGCTGGATAACGCAGGAAAGACGACCATTTTATATCTTTTGCATCTTAAAGTGGTTGAAGGCTCTGATCCAACAACTGTCCCAACAGTTGGTTTCAATGTTGAAACCATAAAGATAGGGAGTGTGGGAATTACTGTATGGGACATTGGAGGCCAGCATAAAATAAGGTCTTTGTGGGAGTTTTACACCGATGGGCTGTCCGGAATGGTATATGTTATTGACATACAGGACTCAGATAGATGGGGATCTGCAGTTTCCGAGCTAGAGAGGATGCTGTCAAACGGAGGAAAGCCCAGTAGATATCCTGTTTTAGTAATTGCCAATAAGATAGATAAAATACCAGACTCTGAGGTGGACGAGGTAAACAAAAATCTGTACGACAAGCTAAATCCCAAGGTCTTATTTGCAGGAAGGCCGTGGATGATTATAACATGCTCTGCCATTACAAAGGACATAAACATAATAACGGACGGATTTTTATGGTTGGCTGACAATTTACTGGAGAATCAAGATAAGAAGAGCGAAAGTAGAATATAAATAATTCTTACGGTTTATTCCTTTGTTTCCTGCCCGCACAAACTATTTAAGAACTTCAGTTTTATTTTTCATGGAGGCTCTCTTTGCATACATGCAAAAAAAGACTTCGCTGGAGGATCTTGTCAAAAATTACTCGAGCGCCGAGGGAAATAGAAAAGCATCTGCATATGTTCTGTTTGAAACGCTGAGATTTGCAGACCAAAGAGGGGCCGCGCTGCACAAAGAGGCTTTGCAGAAGTTTTTCCAAGCGAGCTACGTCCCCGGCCTCTTCTCAGAGTACATAAGCGTGCTTGCATGCACAAAAAGAAGGGACGTGCACGCAGAAGTTGCCCAGCTTATGTGCTGGTGCTTGCGCAAGCTGTCTGCGCTGTCCGAGGTTTCTGGGCTGGAGGAGAGGCTTTGGGTTTTTTTGAGAGGGGCTGAGCATAAAGAGCAGCTGTTTAAGGAGGCTGTTCTTTTGTGCATTGAAAAAGCAACGCCGCAAGGCCTTTCCCACTTTGTGCGGATAGGAGTCGAGCATGCGTATGTGGACGCGCTGTGCAGGCGCACGCAGCCAGCAATAGAGTGCATGCTCCAGGGAATTGCGCAGAGCAAAAGCATAGTGGACGCCGTGCAAGAGAATGAGGCATTTCTTCTGGGTGCGATGAGCCATGGCGTGGATCTGGTGGGGGAAGTAGCGCGCGCCTCAGTCATGTATCTTCTCGCAGAGAGGCCGTCCAGAGTGAAAAACAGTGCAGGCACTGCATGCCAGAAACTTGTGTGTGCGGGCGGATACTCAGAAAAAGTTGCGCGTTCCGTGGAAACTGCTCCTATTGAGACTTGCAGTGCACTCTGCGGGCCTAGTAAGGTGCTATCTTCTGGAGGCCCTGCCACGCGCATACGATGCTATGTGCCTGAAGGCACGCTAGAAAAGCACCGGGTGCTGCTGGTGGAGTGGCTGAGAAAAGTCCGAAAAGCCACAGTGGCCGAGCAAGGCATAGGGTTGTGCAAAACACGGGAAGAAGGCGCAATGAAGTTGGAATGTGCAGAGGCACGCGGGGGAATGGCCCACGATATAGTGAGCATAATTGCGTCCCAGCGCCCTGAAGATGTGCTGCTGAGCAGAGTGGGAAGAGTGGGCAGCGAGTCTGTGCTTCTTCTTAGCGAAGTGTGCACTGACCTGAGAATTCCGCCAGGCACACAGCTGTCCAGAGCACTCCTGCTGAAAGTGCTTGAGAAAACTGGAGACAGAGCATACATTGACTCGCACCCTGTTGGAAAGATGCTGGACATAGAAAAAGAAATTCACATGGGGTACGACTATTATCTTAGCCTGCTGTTTAGAAAGGGCGTGCAGGTGATGCAGTCGCTAAACATCATAAATGCAGCGCTGGACTACGCATACCACGGGCGAATAGTGGGCATGACGATTAAGCTGGCCGATATGCTTAAAGATGCAGAGTACAAAAGCAGGCAGGGAGCCACTGGGCCGGCAGGCATCTCTGAGGAGCTCCGGCTCATTCCTAGAGTGCTCAACAAAATCGTAAAGAAGACCTACCTGGACAAGGCGTGCCTGCAGAGGGTGTTCCGGCAGGTTGTGTATCTTATAACGGTAGAGAATGCGGACATAGTGAGAGAAATATACCCCTTGCTGGAGAGCATAGTGTACTCCTACAAAGAGCTTGACAGCGGTGTGGCCGAGCACTTGTACGGAATGAAGAAGCCACAAGAGCAAAACCATAGGATCGCAGCAGGGCCTGGCGCTCCTGCACGCGGCCTGCTGGAGACCAAGGGAGAGCGCGCAGAAGACCCGCCAAGGAGCATATGTGCTGATACGGTGACCAGCAACAAGGATAACAACACGGACAATGTCATGGTCATTTCCGCAGAGATCTTTAACACAATGGATATGGACGGCTTCAACCGGAAAATCTCTGCCGAAACAGTGTCTATTCTCTCGGTGTTTCTGGAGACCACGCACAACTTCTTGGCGAGGCGAATAGAAAACAGCCTGCTTCCAGACATCTTGCAGTACTACATCACAAACAACACGCTGGTGAACACCCCCGAGACCGTGTGCTTTGTGAGATTTCTATCCCAGCTGTCAAAGCACTCGCTGAAGGTGCAGAGCATGCTCAAGGTGGCTCTTGTTTTGATGGTTCTGCTAGAGAGGAACATAGACGGGGCCGAAGACGCGATTCGGCAGTTCTACAAAAAGGACAAGTACTCGCTTCTGTACGCGGTGCACCACAACATAGAGCAGCAAAGGCGCGCCAAAGGCTTGATAATATCGGCTAAAACCCGAATAAAAATGCAGAAAATATTTACAGACAAAAATGAGCAAGCACAATAGCAGCATATCCTGCCTAGAGCACGGGGACGAGCTTGTATACGGGCTCTGGGACGGCACTCTGCTGATAGTGGGCAAAGAAGAAACGCGGTCCATTTCGCTAAACTCGCCTGCAACCTCCATTCGCACGCATCTAAACACTCTGTACATAGGAACCGCAAAGGGCGACTTGTGGATGGTGGAAGGAAAAACAAAGGTGTCCCATCTGATGAAGGCGGCATTTCATATCATGCACACCGATCTGAAGATAGATTTTGTTGTGGGTATATATGCAAAAGACAGCGAGCGCATTGTGGTTACCTATGCGTACGGGGGGATCGTGGTGTACAACCTTGCAAAGCGCGCAAAGGAAAAGGAAACACGAACCAGCGGGAGAATAACTGCCAGCCACATGGACGGAAACAGGCTTGTTTACGTTTCAGACGGGAAAGTAATATGCGTGTACGACATGGAGACAGAGAAAACAACAGGCATGAAAACGCTGCTGTCGGGCACAACCATAGACCACATAATATTTATACAGGGAACGGAGCAGAGAACAATTGCGTATTGCACGCCCGTGGGGAAAGTGTGCGTGGACTATGTGGATAAGCCGGGGACCGGATTTGTGTTTAAAGCGCACCGGAAAGTGGCCGAGAACGAAGAAACTTACTATCCGGTCACGCTTATGAAGCAGGTCGGTGCAAGCCAAATTGTAACGGCGGGGGGCGACGGCGAAGTGTATATTTGGGATGTAAAGGAAAAAACCCGGGTCCAAAGCGTGATCTCAACCAAAAAGTGCGTGCTCTGCGGAGACGTGAAGAAAAGTGAAGCCGGCGCGGCGGTCTCGCTGATGCTTGCTACATGCGAGGGCGTGAGAAATCTCTGTGAAATAGAGGGCAAGTACAATCTCATGGAGGTCCCCCTGGGAGACCCTGTATAGAATATGCAAAGACCGATACACGCGAGAGCGCTCCATGAAGAGGCACGCGCGAGTGAAAGGCGACGCGCTAGAGCCTTCGCAATTTCGCTTATTTCAGCGTAGATAAATAAATAGCCGTTTTAGGCACTTTTGTCTTTAAACCGCACGCATGGGCTAAATTGGCTTTTCGCTGGTGTGGCTCACCGAAGCTGCCAATTTGCAGTAAATTGCTCATTATTCTAATTTATTTCATGCACACAAAAAATGAAGCTTCTGGAGTTTCAGCATGTGCTTGCGCAATTTCATCCGAAAAAAGCAAGGCCTTCGGTAGATTGTATTTTAAAATTTCTAATTAGTAGCGTGATTTAGCGTGTTATGCAAAAGCTTCAAATGGCTTTTGTTTTTCTTTGCATCGTTGGCATGCGCGGGCTTGCTGTGGATGCTGGCTCTGCAGGTTCTGTGCTATCAGCCCATGTCTGCCTGCGTGCGTGGCTTTCCTTATTAATATCCCCGAATGCGCAGCAATACAGCCGGCCAAGCATTTTCTCGCGCATGCAAAGCAGAAACTCTCTTTCTGCCTTTGCTCTGTTGCAGCGCAATTCTTTTCAAGCGCACAAAGACTGCGCTGTTTCTGGCCGTTCCATAAAATGCCTCCGCCTCTATGCAAGGCAGATGGGCAAGAATGCGCGCCCTGAGATAGACTATCGCTGGCTTTTTGTGCAAAGCATCTTCGTTCTTCCTCAGCCCCGGCGAGCCGTGCACTCTTCTATGTTTATTTTCCTTTATACACTCCATTGACGAACGGCCCGCTGTGCAGCAAGTATATGCGGCTGTTAAACGGCGTGGCCGTGTGCGGAATCTTGTGCAAGGCCATGAGGACTTTCTGCCGCATTATGATGTCCTGCACCCATTTTGTGTACTTAACCTCCAGTGAAATGATTTTCTCATCATTCTCCAGCCACTGCATCAACTCCTGCTTCATTGCATTCACCTTCTCTGGAAAGTACTTCATCGAAATGTCCAGCAGATTTAGACTGTCCTTCCGCACGTCTATGACCGTGCACGTCATCATTGTCTCCAAATACAGAATCACATACTTCTCCCAGTTTTTCAGCTCTGCAGGCAGCGCCTTTGCTAGCAGCTTTGCAACTATCCGATAGAACAGCGCGCGCACCTCTTTCTTGTCGCTTTTGCACATTTTCATTATCTCTTTGATCATCTCCTCAGACACACACTCTAGGCCTTCGGCTTCTCTGGCGCCCCGCATTCGAATTGTTGATGAGCTGTGCTTTAGCATGCTTAGTATCTTCTGCAGATCGTCGGATATTCGTTTGGACACCCCCACGGTTTTGTGTCTGACCGCAAGCGGCTTTATGACTTTTGGCTTAAGCTTGTATCTCTTGAACATGCTGTTTTGTATACTGTGTGAGTTTTCCCGTAAAAACGCAAAATATTAAAATAGTCCGGGCTCTGCTATTTTTACGGAGGCCCCGTGGAATGGCGCTTTCTGAACAGGCATAAGCCGCTTTTTCGCCGCGCCGCCTTCCAGAAAGCGCAAAGCAAAAACTTAGAACCAGCATGAAAATGTAAGATCCAAAGGCCAACAGCGCACAAAAGAAATAACAAAGATGTTTACTCCATTCAAAAGTTCCGGCTTGCACATGCCAAGCTCTGGCTAAAGCGCACTGTCGTTAAAGGTGCACCGGCCACACGTGCGCGTTCTATTCTGCTTTGGCTCTATGGGCAGTTTATTCTATAAATGTTTGTGTCATTGTATATGAGTATGTGGTCGGGGTGCTTCAAGTGCTTTCCGTTTGCAATGGGAAATATTCCCCGCATTATTCCGTCCTGCAGCGTGAATATTTTAACTCGCTTCTTTCCTATAGCAACAACAAACTCTTTAAAAATAAAAACGTAGTCTATGCGCATAAGCCATAGAAACACAACATTGGCCTTTTTTCGGGTCCCGTACCTATTAATATAGAACCCCACATCGTCAAACGCCACCAGATACTGGTTTTCCTCCACCTTCATCATGGTTATAGGCCTGGAGTCTGGCTTGCCTACGTAAAGCGCAATTGTTTTGTCCAAGGGGTCTAACAGCTCCTGCGTGGTGAGATCCACTAGGTCTATAAGCTCAAAGTCGTTTGAGGATATAACCATGTTTTTCCCCAGAAAAGTCACGTCCGTTATGGAGCCTGCAATGTACATGCGCTTGTGCACGCTTTTGCTCAGCTTTCCGTTTGCCTCGCCTGACAGCTTATATATCAAAAGCTCCTCCGACCCCAAGTATCCTTTCCTTTTGGCGACCAGAAATATGTTGTTCTCGCTGGGGTTTGGGTTGCTTTTCACAAAAGAGACCTCTGTCTTTGCTGCAACTCGGTCGACCGCCACGGGCGCCCTCGCTAAGTCTCCATGTATGCGGATGCTGTATACGCTTCGGTCCATCATGAAAAACAAATGAGACAAAAGCCTGCTGTACACAAGGCTTGCAGTTTTTTTGTTGACTACTCGAACACGGTCATTTCTGAGAATTACTTCCAAATATTTTTCTGTTCCAACAGCAAGGTCGCCCAGCGCTTTTGCATTCCATGCTTCCATTGGCTGAGGGTTGATCAAGCAGAGCCACACGTCTTTTTCGCCCTCCACCACATTGCACATCTCTTCAACGGTGAAGTTGTAGAACTTGGCCTGCTGCGCAATCTTTATGCTTTTTATCGTCTTTTCCAGCTCTTCGCCTTCCCACTCCTTGCACTCGATAAAATATGTCCTGCCCTCCGAAGAGACCTCCAGCTGCGTTTCTTCTTTGCCTGTGCTCTCCATGCGCCGCACGCTGATTGTAGACGGCTCCATGTAGTGGTCAAACAGCGTCTTCTGCGTTCTTTTGTGCATGCCTCTCACAGTGATCATGCACTCCACAAAAAACATCGCATTGTCCAGTATAACCATTGAAACCGACTTGCGGCCTTCCGGGGTTATTATTGTCATCTCCTCTTCCATCCGTATCAGCTTCCTGTCCTTTTGCATCATCCCAATGGAAAACTCTGGCCTCTCCTTGTATTTCAGCTCGTGCGAGAGATGGTACAGCGTAAAGTACTCGGTGGAGTACTGCACATTCTGGTTCACCTTGTTGTTTGCCTTCTCTATCTGTGCTATGGATATCGACAGCGCGCTCTCCTCCTCCGGCAAAGCATACTTTAATATCGCCCGAAGAAGCAGCGGGTATCTAGCAATCTTTTGCATTGGCCGCAGAATAAAGTGCGAGCACCCAAGATGCAGCCTGTTTATTCGGTGGAGCACGTCCATTATTTCTGCCTCAAACTCCGGGTTGTTCTCCATAAGCATGTTCATGGTTTTTGTGGCCTGCGGGATTTTGCTGGCATACTCTGCATATGCGCTTGCCATCACATCTTTTCTGGCCATGTATGCGTGAAGCGTGTTGCTGAGGTCGGAGGCAGACACAGAAAGCCGCAAAAACACGTCCTTTGGGGTGTTCCTGGATATCTTCAGAGATCTCATAAAGTGTATTAGAATTGCATCATGCATCTCGAATATCGAATCTAAGTTTCCTATAACATTGGACAAAAACAGCTGCTTGCTGTACACATCGAGCGTGGTTGTATTAACCACCAAGTGTTTTATGGTCCTTGTCCACAAAACCAGGTCGTATACGTAGTGCGACTCGGACTCAAACAGCTCGTGTATCGCCTGCATTCTCCTCTCCTGCCTCAATGAGTTGTTTTTGTCTGGCATTTCTTTGTTTATTGTTTACTCTTCATTTTCCTTAAGAACTAAAACCTTTTCCCCCGTTGTTTGGTCTGTTTTAATTACACACATCTTTTTTATAAGGGCCCTGAAAGTTTCTTTTGACTTTGGGTTGGCCTTGAACCGCATTTTGAACTTCTCGATCAGGTTTTTAATGGAAATGGGCCCTGCGTACAGGTGCATCTTCACGTCCAGTTCTGTTACTTCTTTATGGACCTCTTCCAACTCGGCCTCGTCTGAGGACGCGTTTGAGGATTCAGACTCGAACTTTTCGTAGTTCTTTACCAGCTTTTTTAGATCCTTCCCTGCGGAGTCCAGACGCTTCTTTTTCTTTTTTTCAACTCTCTCCAGGTCTATCTCCCCGTCGTCGTCGTCAAACACCTCTTTGTACTCGAGCTCATCCTCTTTGTACTCGTCCGTCTCGCCCTTCCGCGGCTCTTTTTCGGCGCTCATGTCTCTGGCAGACCTTTTCTGGAGCTTTTCCTCGGCCTCCTCCAGGCTGAGCGTCTCATACTGTATTTTGGGAGAAAACTTGTACCATTTGCTTATTTTGTACAGCTTTATGTCATTTTTCTCCCGGACCATCGCATAGTATGCGCTTTTTGAGTCTTCGGTGACCTTTATCTGGGTCTTTCTCCCCACAAACGCCCGCTGCTCGCTGTCCTCCAGCATCCACGGAATCTTCTCCTCTTCGTGCATCTGGATGTCCTCAGGCTCCTGGTACTCCACTATTTCGGCCTTCTTCCGCGTCATTCTCACTGCGTTTGCAGGCACCGGCTCCTCGTCAGGAAGCACCAAAGATGGGTCGCGAACAAGCTTCAAGGGCGGAACCAGCTCGTCCCCCATTCCGTGGATTGCTGCTATGTTTCTTTCTACGCCGCCATTCACCAAAACGACTCTGTGCTTCATAAAAAAATTAATTTCGCCAGCATATGAAATCCAGGCGAGACACATGGATAAGCCTGCTGAACCCTGGCCTGGAAATAAACAATGCTTTCTATGCGGAAAGAGAGGCGCTGTACAGGGAGTATGTTTCCGACCTGCACACGCCCGTGCCTGTTGCAGAATTGATAGATAAAGACATTCGCCGAACAAAAATCACGCCAGTCTGCGGGATGTATTCGGACTATCTGGAGAGCGTGCGGCACGGCGAGCCTGTCAAAAATGCTTTGGCCAGGATTTTGCAGGTCTATGTGCACACAAACAAGTCCATTGGATACGTGCAGGGAATGAACATTGTCTGTGCAATTATGTACTATGTGCTCTCGCGGGACGACCTGCCATACAGCGAGTCCGCCACATACTTCTGTTTTTTCAACCTCATGGCAGACATTGGCGACCTTTTCACGGAAAAAATGGACAAGACTGAAACTGGGCTATTTGGGCAGCAAAAGATGGTGCTGCGCCTGCTTAAAAAGAAGGACCCAAAGCTGCATGCTAGAGTGCTGCAAAAAGACCTTTTCAACAGGAGCGCCTTCCATGTCAGGTGGATGGTGCTTCTGTTCTCTGCCGAGTTCACGCTTGGAGAAACCATGCTGGTGTGGGACCGGTTCTTTGAGGAAACCCCGAAGGGGGTGATGATTCCATACTTCTGCGCGTCCTTGCTGCTTCTTCTTCGAGAGCGCATCCTGAAAGATGATGAAATGGAGGTTCTAACCACGCTAGAAGTGGTGAAGGTCAGCCCCCGCCTGGCGCTGGACACTGCAGAAAGGCTTCTTAAGGAGACTCCATACAGCGTCTTGGCCCCGCACTCTGCTGCAAGAACACGGGCAGCACACCGCCAGGCCTGAGAGCATACGGTGGCACCGGTGTTTATTTGTTCTAGCTTTGGAATAAATTCATATTAGTCTCTTTGCGCATAAACAATGGACGAAAGCACCCCAAGAGAGCTGAAGCTAATTATGGACTATCTCTCCTCAGAGTGCTACACGGGCACGCTTGACGCACTGGGGTACGGGAAAACCCCCATACTCAGCATGCGAGAAAAGATCAAGGAGCTGTGCATGTCCGGAAAAGTCGAAGAGATGTACAAGCTGCTAACCACGGAGCACCCAGGGATTCTGGACAAATATCCGCACGTGGTTTCTCTTATATTCAGCCAAATCTTCATTGAGTTCATCCGCAACAACCAGCCAGAGAAGGCTTTGAGCTTTGGGCGCACCTCCATGCATGCAGGGCAGGACATAACCAAAACCCAGGAGCTGTTCTTGCTGCTTGCATACAAAAACCCAGAAGAGTGCGAGAAAATGAAAGAGTTTATGTCTTTTGAAAGGAGAGAAAGAGTGTTCTCCGCTGTGGACGGGATTATCAAAGAAAAGACAGCCGGGCGAAAGGCCTCTTTGCTGGAGTACATCAGCAAGGCAATAAAGTATTCTAGCTGCATGCAAAAAGAGGAGTGACTCGGGGCTCTTTTTCAGAATAAAATATAAAGTGTCTCTACGCATGCTTTTGCAAACTGCTACGTTTTGTTTTTAAGCTTGGCAGAGACGGCCTGCAACACAGCGCCAAGTCTTTTCGGCAAGAAAATGCTTGAAATGTTTCCAGAGCATGGCTTTATTGAAGGCATCTTTGCATGAATGTATAAGAACCTTCTTCTCTCAGGAAGTATTCTCTTGGTTTATAAGGTGTTTTAGCGATTTCATAAAGCCTTTGACTGCTAGAGCAAAGGCTGTGTTCGGATACATGTATGTATATAGGAACGTGTAGCTAATTACTATGAGTAGAAGAAGGGCCACAACCAAGATGATCCACACGCGGCTTCTGAAGCGCGCATTTGAGCGGCCATTAGCACCCCGTGAAGCAGAGCTGCGCTTTGCTGCTTTACCCCTTTTTTTGGGGAGGTTTTTCTCCTCTTGTTGTAATGACTCCTGTTTGTTTAGCTGGTTGTCCAGTATGGCATAGTAGTCTAATTCGTTTACCTTTTCGACACAGAACTCTACTATACCACGGAACGTCTTCGATATGGTTGCCTGGTTTTCGTGCAGGGCCTCTTTTATCTGGGCTGCTCGTTTGCTCTTCACAACAGGAGCGCCTGCTTCTAATTTAGACTTAATGCTTTTTTTCAGATCTCTCTGGATGGCCCCGCCGATTAAAAAGCATTTTTTCAAGTTTTCCCGGATGTTTTTAGTGACTTTGGCCAGTACGGCTTGGGTGACCGCTATCTGGATGGCTTCTGTCTCCTGTTTACTCTTGTTTCCTATGTTGCTCCCTATGCTTAGCAGGCCTTCGTCTATGCCGAACTGCACGATCTCTTTAAACTCCTCGGTGGATTGCTCCGCCAGAAAGTCCATGTCCAAACTCTTGAGCATTTTAGAGATCTCATTCACGCTTCCATCAAACACGCTCCCAACCGCAGCCAGATCCTGCAAGCCCTCAGCTAACTTTGCTTCTAGTTTTTTCAACTTTTCCTGATCTATCTTTATGCAATCTTTTTCCATACAGGAGCATAAAAAACTGATTTTATAGGCGAAAAATCAAATTTTGATTACGGGGGTTTCTCCGCCCGTTATTCGCCAATCGGCATAAAAATGTGCACCCCGTATTTGGGTATGCTCTCCACAGATTTTTCCTTATCCAAGCTCCTGCATGCGGCCTAAACAAAGCCACGCAATTCTTAGTGCACGCTAAGATCGAAGCAAGAGTCTGCGCTGTGACGCTAAAACTGCGATTTTTTTATTGTTTTGCCTATGCCCATCGCATGCCCAAATTCCCGAATGTGCACGCTTTCAGACATAGGCAAAACAATATCAAAGCACGAGAATAGCCAGGCTTTAGGCGGCACAAAAATCTTCCCTGGGCCCCCACAAAACTGCAAAGGGCTATGGCAAAATGGCACTAGTAGAGCTCCCTATGACAAGGCGGCGGGTCTGGGCAGGCGTTTTCTGTTGCTATGCGCCTGCTTGGGTGAGTCTGCCCTTACATGCATCCAGAATTTATATTTGCTCTATTTTTTTACATAATGCAATTCCAGAACGAACAATCAATAGCAATTACAGCATATGAAATCGACATGGACAGCACAGCGGAAGTTTATGGCCTTGAAGCTGTTGGCAGCCCGTGCAGCGAGTTCGAAGTAGACAACGAGAACACAATGCTTGTGATGGAGCAAGCAGAGGGCATGGCCCCTGAAGTGGAGAGCGCAGGGGATGTCTTAGAAATGGGCTTTAACGCATGTGCTTGCCTTGAAAGTGCTTTCTCAGAGCCTTTGCAGGTATACCTTCGGGAGAGCCTCGATGGCGCTGAGTGCGAAAACACGGCAGAGAAGCTGTTTGCGGCTGTTCAAAGCCTGACCTCTCCTGCGCACGGAGTTATTTCGAGCGAAGTTGCAGAAAAAATCCAAGCGTATGTGGAGGAAAACAGCGAAAAAATCGAGTCGATAAGTCTGCACATGTGCATGGAGTCAGACCATTTGGTGGCTGAAGTTACGATCAAGTTGCTGGAGAGCTTCTCAGACATAAACAATCTGGAGTGCCCTGGGTCCTTGAACTTCCTCTCCATAACTGCTTTGCCTGTAGTAGATGCTGAACAGCTGGGCAGCTCCTTGTTGGAGACTGTCTCTGGCCCCGAGAGTAATCTAATAAGCACGGTTGGGGAAATATGCAACAATGTGGTTAATTCTACCCCTGAGCTAATTTCCCGCATAGCAAGCATAGGTTCCTTTCCTGTAGAAAACTAGGCAGGCCTTTGAAGGACAGCAAGAAATTTCGGCACAATCATTAAATATGCTATTTTAGGACATAGTTTAATTTGGCCGGAAACACCATCTGGCCGTCTCTTTCTTCTGTAAAAGACATAGAAACATTATGGCGACAATCAGGAGCAAGCAGAAGGGTGCATAAACCCAGAATATTTTTTAATTTTGCATGATTAAGCTTCTACTAGAGGGAGAGCAGTACAAGGCTGCTGGAGAGTCCGCCAAGATGCTTAGAGAGGCGCTGAATGAGCGAGGAGATGGAGACCTGACGATATCGCAGGAGGCTTTTGGCAAGATTATTCCTGTTCTAATTAACGAGTACAGGGAAACCGTGCACGAGTACACCATAATAAACGGCAAGGAGGTGAAAATAAGAGAAGGCTCGCCTGGGAACTGGGCAGACTATCCTGAGTACTTGATCAACAGCGCAGAAATAACCCGGATGGGCGCGGTTGTTCTGGGCCCTGGAAACGTTCTGTGCGTGGAGCTAGCTTCTGCCTCCACCGTTGAAAAGGAGATAAAAGTGTACAGGTTTGTTGATAACGAGCTATACACAAATCTGGCCCAAGTCATACACGAGCAAAATATTCGAGAAATCGTATATGTAGACAGCGCGCTGGAAAAGGTCTTCATTGCGCTGGGAGTTACACACTACAGCCTGCCAAAGCGGAAAATGGGCTCTGTGAACCTGCTGGAAAAGCATTTGAACGTGAACGCGCATGGGTACAAAATAGACGAGGCTTCGCTCAGCAACGTGCTGCGCATGGACAAAAAGGCTGCAGACTCTCTTCTCGCTGGAGACATCCGGATAGAGGACGAGATAAACTGCTGCACGCTGCAGGGAAAGCGGCTGCTGCAGCTGTTCATGCGCGCGCCTTTGATAGAAAAGGACGAGATACTGAAGAGGCAGAGCATCGTGGCTGAGATCCTCGAGAGCGGATTCGGGCTTAGAGACGCCATCAAGTCAACTCCAGACACGTTTACTGTGTGCAAGAGACAGGGCGGAGTTTTAACAGTCCAGCAAATAATGAAGCTGTACAAGTTCATAGGGTGCGTAAACAGAATATATGGAAAGCTGCAGCCCCTCCAGTCGCTTAAGCACGAGAGCGCAGTGATGAAGGACTCTCTAGACTATGCAAAGGAGCTGACCGAAGACATACTAGAGCACATCGATGTGGAGGCGCAGGAGATAAAAGAGACGTGCACAGAGCCTTTGAGAAAGCTTGTTTTGCAGAAGAAGCAAATTGAGCACGAAATACACATAGAATACACGCAGGAGGTGAGTGAAAAGAATTTGCACAAGTGCAAGCCAAAGCTTGAAAATAGCTCCATGTACGGGTACTGCATAAAAATGCCTCGAACCGAGGAGAATAAGCTCACCACGCAAACAAAGCTGGCAGTGCAGAAGTCGGGCGTGTTTTTCACAACAGACCGGCTGAAGGCCTCCAACCACAGGCTGGCGCGGGTTCTGGACCAGATAAAGGCAGAGCACGCAGTTGTGCTGAAAACGCTCACCGACTCGTTTGCGATATACAAGGGCTGGATAGAGGTAATGAACCACACGGTTGCCCTGCTGGACGTGTTTTCCAGCCTGGCCGAGTATGCTGAAAACAACAACTTGGTGCGGCCCACATTTTCTGCAGACTCGAATTACGATGTGCGGAAAATGTACCATCCTTTGCTTCCTTCCCTGTGCAGGAGACGCGCCATGCAGAGCAATACCATCCAGGAGCCGATTAAGAACGACCTTAAGCTGGGCAGCGCCCGTCTTTGCATAATAACAGGCCCAAACATGGGAGGAAAAACCACGTTTCTGAAGGCCGTCGGGCTTGTTTCGCTGCTAGCCCAAATGGGGTCTTATGTGCCTGCGGAGTATGCGTGCATTCCTATATTCAAGCAGCTGTTTATACGAATCGGCGCATCGGACAACCCAGACAAGGGGATCAGCACATTCATGGCAGAAATGATGGATGTGTCTACGATACTGAACCAGGCAACAGAAGACTCGCTGGTTATTATTGACGAGCTAGGCAGGGGAACCAGCGACGAAGACGGATACTCCATAGCAGCAGCAACCGTAGAGTACTTGGCCACAGTGAATGCAATGACTCTGTTTGCCACGCACTTCCACGAGCTGGCCCAGATTGCGCATGTAGAAAAGAGAAGGGTTGGGTGCGTTGTGACCGATGAAAAGGTGGAAATGACGTACAAAATAGAGGATGGCGCAGCAGATACGTCGCATGGCATAAACACCGCTAGAAGAATGGGCTTTCCGGAGGAAGTGCTAGAGCGCGCGGAGGAGGAGCTCAAAGAGAACAAAAGAAAGTGCGCAGACGATGCCTCTGCTTGCACAAAAAGTGTGCGAAGAAAATGATATCCGATTCCTATGTCTGCGGCGCACGCTTCTTGCAGAACAGAAAAACTGCTTCCGTGCAGAGCCCTCATCAGAAGAGCACGCAAAGCCCTGCTACTGAAGACTGCACGAATAACCGCAAAGCCTAATCCTCCATGCTGCATTGAGCCCAGCGGCCTAGGGGATCTGGCTGCTCGCGTTGTGGCAAAGCACATAGTTAATCGGTGCCACTGTGCCACGGGAAAGGAAAAAACAGCTAGCGTCTTGGCAGGGTCTGCACATTCTATGCAAACACCTGGAAATTCGCTTGAATACATTGCATGGTGTTAAATAAACACATTTTGTATCAATCTATTGCTTTAATGATTGCATCATATGCATTCGTGTTATAAATGAAAAAATCTGGCGCGGGGGCATGCCTATGAAAGAGCAGAACATTGTTGTGGTCGATTTGGAAACAGCATGGAAAAGTCTGGAAGACAGCCGCCTTCTGCGGTCCTTTGCAGCAGGGTCGTTCGGGTTTAATCTGGTGCTGTTTGAGGCATTTGAAAAGAACTTTGTTCTAAAAACCCCTGCTGGCCTGCCTAAGGCGGAGATTTCAATTCTCACAAGCCTCAAAAGAGAGCTGCTATATGTCCTGCTGTGCGACATGGGGTTTATGTTTGGTGATAAAAACAGCCCCGATTTTTTGGAAAAGTGCTGCCTCTACGTGGAATCAAAAGAGGCAGAAAAGAAGATTTTGGCGCTAATAGAAAAGATGAGCTTTATTCGCTCTGCCATAGATGTTTCCGAGAAAGCAGAGAGCATGGCGGATGTGCCAATGGCGCGCCAAAAGTCGCTGGAAGCTCTTCAGGTAGAGACCGTGAAGGAAGCAGCGAGGCTTGTAGAACATATAGCCTTACTTAAAAAGAAGGCTATACAGCCGTTTGAGTCCGAAAAGGCTGAGCTAGAAGGCAGCGGCGCCTGGCAAGAGGAGATGGCGCCAGAGCCACTCGGAAACTTTAGCGAATGCAAAGCCTTTTTGAAGAATGCGCTAGAGAAGACCTTAAACGCGCTTTTCTACAGCAAGCAGTGCAGAAGCGCGAACATGCGGAACTGCCTTCTGCAGGGGATTTCAAGCTCCCTCAGCCTTTTTATATGCGCTGATGTTACAAACGCGCTGCAAAACATAAGAGACAACTACTTTAATGGCAAGTTATACCTGTACATGTCGCACTTTCTCCAAAAGAACCCTTTGCAAAGGTTTTCCTCTCCGCCCGGAGGGCCTTCGCCCTGCCCAGTGAGCGCAGCAAATTTAAAATTTGGAGTATTCAAGCACATTCTGGACATACATACGTTTCTATGCATAGTGATGCACGCCCCAAATAAGCGCTGCGAGTTTTTGGGCAATCTGGCCTTTGTTGACCAGAAGATGCAAAGGTCAGCGATTGACCTGGAGAGGATATATACAGCCGCGGCATATCCATTTGTCTACAGAAAGGAGCCAGCCCTGCAGCTTGCACACATGGCCACTGCGCTGTCTCTTTTCGGGGCTTTTACTCCACCTTTCAGCGGGTTCGTCTTAGAGCGGATTCTAAGCGTGTGCAGGGAGGCCTTCCACACAAAGCGTACAGGCTGTGAAAGGCATAGTGCGCGCAGATGTGGCTGCACTTCTTCAGATGCCAAGAAAGCCTCCGCTGTATTTAAAGGAGAAAGCAACCAAAAACACAACCCAGCCTTCTCAGGCACAGGCGCCCACTGCACATCGCAATTATTCCTTGCAGAAACATTTTTTTCTCTGGCTACTATAATGGACATTAAATACTCTAGCTTTGGCGCTCTAGACCTGGACGTTTTCAATTATGTAAACTTGCCGAGTCTGAGCCACGCGCAGAGAGCACCTATCCAAAGCAAACCTCTGTCTCTTCACAGGCCTGCTGTCGGGACTGTCCAGCAAGGCCGTGCACTTTGCTTTCTCTTTGGCTTCTATGGGGTATGCATTTTTTTCTTTTCCATTCTAGCTCTCTTTATATGTGCAGCCTATGCCATTGGGCCATGTATGTTTGAAGACAGCAAAGTGGGCAGTCTCTAGTAAACAGGCAAGAAGATACACAACGCAAACGCGTAGTTTTTCATGTAAACACATTCTGCCTTTCCTTAGAAAAATCATGCTGCGTTGGCTTTTGCGTCTTTCCTGTGCTTGATTTCCTGCTTTTACATTTATATGAAGTTTCTGCGCGCAGAAAAGACAGAGTCCGAATAATAAAAACATGTACAGTATTCTTTATTTTTATACAGAATATGCAGGCTGCCCCGATAAAAGCCGCAGGACAAGAAGAAAGCCCAACAAACCCATTTATATAGAGTGCAGCATGCCATGCGCGGTGCAGAAAATTATAGCACGCACTGGGTGGGGTTTGCCATAGTCTTCTGCGCTTTTCTTGGGAAGAGCTGCGTTTACCCTGCTGGAAAACACGCAAGCATCTTTGCCATATGTCTTCTATGCTCTTTTGCAAGGCATCTTTACACGGGGGTTCTCTTTTCTTGTGAAAAAAGAAGCGCTAGAGGGCAAGCGCCAGCGGAAGTAAATATATGGATGGTTTTTATAAAATTTTATATGGTGAATTCAACCGAAGTATCAGTCTTGCACGGGTTTGAGTTTCCCACGTACTGCAGCAGCATAGAGGTGAGCCACGATAACAAAACGCTGCTGGCCACAGGAGGGTACAAGCCCATGAATCTGCTCTTCGATCTGCAAGAGCACTCGCTGAAAACAGAAAGGCATTCAGACCACGAGCTGCTTAAAGGCATTTTTCTGGAAGAGGACTGGACAAAGATGGCTTTTCTATCAAACACTGCAAGAATAGAGTTTCACTCGCAGTTTGGAAAACACGAGATCATCAGCCTGCCCCAGCAGTGCCGAGACATAAAGGCAGACAGGATAAAAGCTGAAGTCTTGGCGCCTGGAAAGTTAAAGGACGTATACAGGTTTAGTTTGGAAACGGGAAAGTTTTCCTCCATCACGAGCACGGGCGTCACTAGCATTGAAGAGGTTGCCATAAACACATCCCACACGCTTTGCGCTGTAGCTGGAAGCGCCCGGTCTGTGGCTGCAGAAAGCAGCGGTTTGTGCGAGTTTATAGACAGCAGAGACAATTCGATAGTTGGAAAAATATCTGTTGACTCGCCTGCCACATCCTGTGCGTTTTCCGATGACGGGATTCTGTTCGCTGCAGGCAGCGAGTCCGGAGTGGTCTCGCTGTATGACATAAGAAGCGCCAAGCCCATGATAACAAAGGACCACAACTACGACTTCAGAATAAAAAAGGTGCAAATAAAGGGCAGGAGGGTTCTGTCTTTAGACCGAAAAGGAGTGAAGGTGTGGGAGTGCAGCACAGGGAAGGTCCTGGCAACAATTCAGCCGGCATTTGAGGCGAACACCTTTGCTACTTCAGAGGGAATAGTCTTTATAGGAGGAAGCACGGAGGAGATGAAAACATACTATACGCCTTCCTTGGGCGCCATACCCGCATGGTGCAGCAACCTAGAAGGCGCAACAGATGAAATGGACGAAATGCGAAAGACAACGTATTTCGAGCAATACCGGTTTGTGACAGAGGAGGAGCTGGCTGCGGCAAGACTGCAAAAGGAGGTTGGAAAGAAGGTGAAGCCGCACATGCATGGATACCTAGTGCCGCATGCGCTATACGATAAACACATAGAAAAACTGCAGGCAAGCTAAGCTAGAAGAGATCCGCAAGCACAAAAAACTTCAGCCAAAGCCAAGCATCCTCCTGATTGGCCTTCTTGTGTAGTCTAGAGCAGGGCACGCTTTTCACCTCATCGGGAGACAGACGAAGAAGCTCGGGCAAACATAAAAGAGCTGCATTCCCGAAGAAGCCGCTTCTTATAAAGCACGTTCTGGGCGAATACGCAACTTTTCGAGCGGAGACATACTGCCTGCATCTGCAGAAATATCAAACCACGCCGGAATGTTTTGCAAAAAGTATATCATGCATTTTATTATGAAAAATTTGTACTGTATGGTGGATATAAGAGACGGCCAAGGAGAGGGCTCAGGGAAGGAGTTAAACATAAGGGTGAACGAGCTGGCAAACTTAATGAAGCTTTTCAGAGGAAAGGTAGATGAGCTGGAGAAAACCGTGCGGTCTTTGGAGGCAACTGTGTCTGGGTATATGGGAACAGTAACACAAGCAAAGGATGCACTTGACAGCCAAAACTACTCTAGCAGATAGATTTGCTTGCGCTGTTTGAGGGCCGTAAAGTAATAAATGGTGAGAAATTACGCGCGAAAAGAAAGTTGCAGCCCGGAAAAGGGGAAACAGCCCCTCCTACTTCCAGAGAGCAGCGAGAATTTAATTCGGATATTTTAATTTTTTATTATGGATGCGCATGAAAATAGCCACACAATGAGTATCTATGATACAATAGAACACGATATGCGCCACTCAAAAGAGTATTTGGCAAACATCAAGTTCAACTTCATAGAGGTTCTTCACAAGTCAATATTTCTTAAGAGACTGCGGGGCCAGGAGGAAAGCGAGGGCACGGGATGCAAGGAGGCGCTTGTGGGGGCAAAGAAGCAGATAGAGGATCTTAGAAAGCAGTTCGAAAAAACATCGCACGACGTGGCGTTTTTGCGCGGCGAGGCGGAGAAGCACGAGAGCATGCTGCGCACAACAAAAGAAAAAGAGATGATTTTGAAGAAGCGAATTGACGAAATTACACAGACAGAGAAAACACTCAGCGCGTTTTCTGAGATAAAAAAAGACCACGAAGTGCGGGCGGAGTCCATTCGAAAGCTGCGGCTGAAAATTGAGGATGCGGAAAACAAGGTGAAGGCGTGCAGGCAGGCGACGGATGCGAAGGACGTGGTGCGGGAGTCGCTTGTCCTGCAGAAAACAGACCTGCAGGCCCGGCTCAAGGACCTGCAGCAAACAGCAAACCAGCAGCTGGTGTATCAGTATAACTGGCACAAGCAGTTTGTGAGCGTGTTCTATAAGCTGGTGGGGATTCGGGTCATTGATGTGCGGCAGAACGTGCACAAGCACCAGGAAACAACATACAGCAGCGCAGAAAACCGAGAGCAGAAAAAGAAGGAAGACATCAATGAAATTAGCATAAAGCTACTAGCAAAGAGGGATGAAAGAACGGTTGTAATAACTCTTATATTTGTGGACGACAAAATACACAGCTACACCGTGCATAAAACAGAGGGGGTGGCGCAGATTGAGCCGCTGCAATGCGATCTGCTCTTTGAGTATTGCAAGAAGATGAACAGCATAAAACACTTTATATTTGAAAGCTTCCACCAGCAGCTCTCTTCGCGGTAGAAGCAGCAAGCTCTTTTCTGAAGGGGAAGCTCGCATGGCGGACAGCAGCCAGAAAGCACATTGCAAGGAGGGGATGGCCCGTGGCGATAGGACAGACAAGCAGCAGGCTGGAGCCAGCCGGCTTTTTCTGGGCGTCTGATGCATGCTGCTGCAAGTTGCAGCTTGTATGCCCGCTTGAGGAAAGCCCCCATAAATATTTGAGCAGGCCAGGGCGAGGGCACAGGTAAAATAAGAATAAACACAAAGGCCTGCAGGCCAAATAGAAGAAACTTGCCGTAAAGCTTTTTAAGACTGGGCGCCTGCCCCGTTGCTGTAGAGCGCCGAATAGCGAAGGCTTGCTTCACACTGCGGATTGGCTCAGGTGTGCCTAGGCCTTCTGTGTGCGGAGTTTAGCCTTCTAGCGGGCGGGCAGTTTGTCAGAAATTGGCCTGAATGCCCTCAGGATGATGTATAGGATGTGTTTATTCATGTAAAACTGGCTGTTCTGCAGCCATGTCAGGGTCTGCTGAGTTGCTGAGCATAGGGGGAATTCTTTCCTGCCGGAACTTTAGCTTGCAAACGGGGATTTCAAAGTACCTGGATAAAAAGTAGTCAAGGCTCCACCAGACGCCAGACGATATGTATATTCCCAAAAGAACGTCAATGGTATAGTGCAGCCTTCCTACTATAATAAACACCAGCACAGTCAAAACAGCAACCCATGCGATCATTCCCGAAATCACATGCATTGCAAAAGAGTCGCTGAGCAAGTAGAAAGATGACCAGCAGTGCGCAAAGCTGCACAGAAGGAGTGTGTGCCCGCTGAATATCAAGTCCCCTCCCCTGTCTCTGGAGAGGCTTGCAAAGGTGTCGTCTATGGTGCGCAGGCCCACGTTCCAGGAGTCCGGAAGCGCTGTGGACATAAGAGTGAAGCATCTTAGGAGGTACGAAATTGTTAAGGCAGCCAGCAGCTTAAGAGCAATGAACACTGCCAGCCGGTTTATGACAATGCAGAGCGCGGTTATTGCAATAAAACAAATCATAACAATATCTACAGCGTCGTTGAAGCCAAAGCTGCCCTGATATCCGGTGTTGAAAAAGTCGCACCCAATATCTTGCAGGGAGTAGTTGTATGCTTTGATTGGCGACCAAAAAGAAGAAACATTTGCAGCAACATTCACAAGAAAAAGAGTCACAAGAAAACAAATAACCACTACTCCCAAAGAAATGCCTTTGTAAAGAGTTAGATTGTACCAGGCGAGCAGCCTATTTGAATAATCTCTAATTCCGTCTCTGTGCATACCCTAAACTAAATGAACAATTTAAATTATAATTTATATACACATAATGCATACTAAATGCCAGGAGCCTGCTACAATACCTCAAATTGTTTTCCTGTACAAATTCAAACAGAAAAGCCCTAAGCCCTACTTTCCTGCGCGCGCCAGCGAAAACCCTCTGCAGCCCCATAGGAGAAGCCTGGACACACAGCAGTTTAAGGCCTGCCTTCGGAGGACAGAACAATTAGAGTGCACACCTGCATACCAGCGTTGTGGGCCATAAATGGCTTCGTATTGCTGAAGACAGCCCCCGCTTTGAGCTTTCTTCCTACAATCTCCTGCCTCCTGTACTGTATAGCCACCTGTTCCTCTGGCCCCGCAGAGGAATCCTTCACCACTATAGAGCCCCGCGTTATGTAGTATATGCAGTCTGGCTCAAGAGTCTGGGCCCGCCCAGGCTTAATGTGGCACGCTCCCGCCCGCATGTTATTTGACGTGAACTCCCACGAGTCCGTTCCGATTTTATCTGTTTCCTTGAACAGCAGCGAATTCTCAGGCAACGCCTTTGGAGCACGCTGCGCTGCTGCTGCAACTTTTCGGGAGTTTCCTCGCTTGCTCCTTTCGGCAGAATTTGCGCGCGGGATTTTTGGCTGCTCTCTGCATGTGCCTGCCAGCGCCCTCTTTTGCGGCTGGCACTTTTTCTTCTTTAAACCCTGCTGCGACGCCTCCTCTGCCTCTTTCTGATCTTCTTCGGAGTCTGAGAACCCTGTCAGTATTGCTGTCTGCAAGTCATCTTGAAACTCCTCATCAAAACTTCTTCTTATTGTGCGGGGGCTGCTAAGTATCGACAGCTCGGTTTCATCCGCCCGGTCTGGCACACGCTCTTTTATGGGGGCCTCTGTTTTCTTCGCTGGAGACTGCCCAAAGTCCAGGAGGCTTATGTCTTCGTACTGCTTTCTTTCCATTTCCTCAAGCTCCTTGTTTGCCATGTTCCAATACGCGTCGATGTTCTCCATGGAGTCTTCGTCCATCGACACGTGGTCGTGCGAATTTCTCCTCATGCCGGCTAGTATTTCTTGTGAGAGTGCCTGCGCCTGCCCTGTTGGCTTAATTCTGGTGGTTTCTCGTTTTGTTCTTCCCATGTTTATATTTCTGATTTTTTTATTGGCCATGAAAATATTCTCTGAATCCTTCACGCTTACTGAAGTTGACCCAGACGGAAAAGTTTTCGATGAAGTTTCCAGGGGAGTGTTTATGCATGACAAGTGCTCTGTTCTGCTGGACTACCACAGCGGCCTGTTTATGGGCAAGAAAACGGACAGGGTTGAGATTTCACTGTTCTCAGATGAAAACAACTTCAGCGAAAAAGACATCCCGGAAAAATACACGTATCTAATGGGGAACGGGCTAGTTTATAAAAAAACTGTGCAAAACAGCAGGCAGGTGCTGGACATATCCTTCTCAGGCCTGCTGGCTAGGCTGGAGGCGCCTGTTGGAAGAATAAAGGACATCCAAGCAAACAGGCGGCTGTACTTGGGAATAGATAGAACAGCAAATGTTTAGACAATAAGATAATAAAGTGGACAAATAGCGTGCCTGCACAGGCTGGGCTGCTTGCGAGGCGAAAATGCGAGGCAGAGCGGGGAATTAAAACAAAAGTGTGCAGATTCTGTTTTTCAGCTTCAGCAATTTATTTACTTCTCCCTTTGCAAGCAAGTGCGCGTGGAAAGAAGGCCAGCCATAAAACGCAGAGCTAAATATAAATATCCGTGCACATTCCACAGCGTCAAAGCCACAGCACACAGTAGACACACTGCTAGGAGGCGCCCGAGCGTGTCTGTGCAGCTACACATAAAAGAAGCAACTGATGCAGTTCACCACGGCCAAGCCCACGGCAGCACATATCATGCCTGTGCCTGCATTTGAAAACATAGTGCCAAAAGCCCCAGCATTACGCACTATAACCGTGCTCCGGTCCGGCAGCGGGTGTTTTTCATTTTTTAAGAGAACCAATGTGTATTTTCCCGGGGGAAGGTTGCTTATTTTTCCGACCATGTATTTTCCGGAGAAGAAGGAAGACGGGTTTTTCCAGCTTTCGAGCTGCGACATAAAGTCGGCCTCAATCGGAACCTCCGCACTGTTTTCAGCAAGGATTTTGTATGTGTCGCTTGGATAGGTAGATGTCAGGATGCCGCAGGGATAGACCCACTGCCCACTTTCCATATAGGGTGCACACTCGCTAGGCATTTTGTCTGGGGCTCCCTGCTCTTCCTCTATGTGCACGTCTGGGATTTCATGCGTTGCATATTTCATATGGGTCTGCGCCGCACCGCTTACAATCCCGTATAGATATGTGGCGTGCACTGTGGGCTTGCGTATGGTAAATGGATATCTGCACTCTTTTGCGCTGCAGTTTTCATGGTTTATGACAAGCTGTGTGACTGGATCTGTAAAAACAGCTATCAAAAAAATTCCGATCAGCGCGGCCAGAGAGACCCATGTGTAGAAAATAAATCTTTGCATGTGACTCAGCCTGAACGTGTATCTTTTCAGCTTTTGCTGAGTGATGCTCTTGTATCCATTCATGACGAGTTCTCGCACGCTAAGGAAGCCTTCCATTAAAAATAAAACACCACACAATAGGCATATTTAATACAGGTATGCGCGCACATGGCAGGCGCGTGCGCGGACTCTGAAAAACTGGACATGCTTTTGGCCATGCATAGGCCCTGCATGCACACTATAGAAATCCCATGGCGCAGGCCTGCGGAGTGCTCGAAAGCCAAGTGGCTTTAGGCTGTGCGTGCAGTGGGGCACACCGCTAGACAGCTGAAAAGCATGCGCACATTTTCTTGCTAAGCACCAATAGAATAGAAAAGTGCTGGAAGTGCCATGGGTACCCAGCACGCAAGCCTGCAAAAATCCGCATTCCTGCCAAAAGCAGCTCGTGTCTTTCCAGACATTCTTTTCCAAGGCCAGCAAAGTGTTTTCCAAACCAAAAATTGCGAAGTGTTCAGCCCGGGCTTTCAGATGAAGCTGCATTGAAGCAATTTTATTTAAGGCCTTTAACCTTGCATGTGAAAAATGGGCACTGTCCAGGCCCAAACCGCAGATAAGCGGTGGTTTGCACAGGCTTGCATGGGATAGATTTAAGAGGCATTTTTAATATGGCTCCTTGCTAGTCTATTCTAAAAAGAGCTTTGAAGTTTCTGTCTGTTGCCTCTATAAGCTGCTCTTTTGGTATTCCCTTGATGTGGGAAACCACGTCGATGACTTCAAGCAGATTCGCTGGCTCGTTTCGCCCCTTCACCCCCTCGTGCTCGGACCATTTCTTGCTTGGCGTGCGATACTTTCCTACGCAGCTATAGTATGCGGAGGTCTTTCTTATGCTGCACCAAGGCGCGTCTGTTTCTATAAGAAGCCGGTGCAAGGGGATCTCTTCTATTACACGAGTGTCCTCGTTTTCTCTAATAGAGGCGCCGTTTACGCCTATATAGTATCCACAGCGCACAAGCCTTCGCATTTCCTCTATGCTTCCTGTGTACGAGTGCACAACTCCCTCTACGCTGTGCTGACCTACAATGTCAAAAAAGTCTTCCTCGCAGTCTCTATAGTGGAATACATACGGGAGCTTGTAAATGGCGGTTTCTTTCAGTATTTTCGAGAATATCTCCCGCTGCTTTTCCCGGGGCGAATAGTCCCTGTGGTAATCTAGCCCAACCTCTCCTATTCCGATCACGCTGTTTATTGAGAAAAGCGACTTCTCTGCTACCAGGCCCAGAATGCTCTCTCCAACCAGGCTGCGCAGGCTTTGTATGCTCTGGTTTGCCAGAATGTCGACAAGCGAGCGGACGTCTGCATCCTGGGCGCCTTTTGTGCTCCCAGGGTGTATTCCGACAGTGCAGTACTCCCCATACTCGTTGGCCAAGGCAACAGACTCTGCCGAGCTCTTCACGGATATCCCCAGGAAAACCATCCGAACTCCTGCGCGTTTCCCCCTTTCTATCACCGCGGGTATGTCACAAGCGTGCTTTTTTTTCTGGCCGTACTCCCCCTGGTACTGCGGGTCTGTTATGTTTACTGCTATATCGTATGGCATTTAAGTTGAAAATATTTACAATTCATGTGTAATAGCCAGCAGAAACAAAATAACAAGCTGAGAAGCATCTTGGCGCTTGGAAACTTAGAAGGCGTTAAAATGCGCCGAGATAAATACAACAACATCACGGTTATAAAGAACCCGTCAGTTCTAAAGGACTCATACATTGTTGGCATTGATGAGGCAGGGCGCGGACCTGTTGCAGGCCCGATGGTATATGGCATGGTCTACTGGGGGGAAGACCCAAGCAGCAAGCTGTACAACGACTCAAAAAAGGTAGGAAAGCAGAAAAGAGAGCAGCAGTACGCCGATCTGTATGCAAACAGCGATGTTGGGTTTATTATATGCTGCCTCTCGCCGCTCTTTATAAGCATGAACATGCTGTGCAACAAGAAGGACAAAGAGGCCAAGTCCCTGGCATCTGGCAGCTCAAAAAAAAAGAAGCTCAAAGAAAACCCCAAAAAAGCAATTGTCTCGAAGGGAATTATGGCGTACTTGAAGACCATTAAGGGGAAAGTAACAGAAGATGTGATTGAGTACATGAACAATGCCATTCAGGTGGCAGAGCCTGAATTTGTGTGCGCGCACCGGCTAAACCTAAATGAGATATCGATCGAGTGCATCATTAGCATGCTAACAAGATGCATCTCAATGGGGGTGCCGGTGAAAAACATATACATAGACACGGTTGGAAACAAGGGGGCACTCCGCGAAAAAGTAGCAGAGAAGACAAAGCACTGCCCCACAATAAAAAGCATCGTGGTGGAGGACAAAGCCGATTCAAAGTACCAGTGCGTTGGAGCAGCCAGCATCCTTGCAAAGGTAACGAGAGACATGTTTCTGGAAACTCCTGAAATATGGGAGTGTCTGTACAACAACACAGCGTATCCGAAGCATGCTGTGTCTGGATACCCTTCGGACGTGCACACCAAGGCCTGGATGAAGCAGGCCTTCGTCCCTCACATCGGATTTCCTCCTATATTCAGAATTGGGTGGAAGCCGGTGCTTGACTTTCTTACAAAAAAAAGGCCAGAGGATCTGACACCCCCGCCTCACGAAAAAGGAGAGATGCTCTGCTACATAAAAAAAGCTTCTAAGAAAGCATGAAGGCGTCTTCCTTTGGGCTGGTGCGCGCACCTACAAAGCTGGTATACTCCCTGCCAAAAAATATGCGCCCAGCGGTCGGCGACAGGCAGCTTATGTGCAATAGGAAGCTTCAAAGGTCCAGGAATGTGCATTGTGCATGTATTATGTTCGTTACTGCATGTCTCTGGTTTTGACTTCATGTACATATTCTTCTGTTCTTCGGTGTATAGGCGCCGTTGCTTTTCCAGCACTTTTTACATACTTCAAACGAATATCTCGAATTGTGCGCCAAGAGAGCGGGCGTGTATGCAACGGTGCGGTGTTTCTGGCCTTTGTGCATGCGAAAGAGAAGCAGTGGGCGGCATGTGCGCATTTGTTGGCTCAAACACGCCTCTGCGCTTTCTGCAAAGCAGTCTTTCTGAGATGAAACCCGCAGATTTTACAGAAAACAGTGATAGAGAAGCGGGTGTGTAAAATTAATTAAAATGCAATTATTAAATGTTTTTTCTGTACAGTATTTGTGGTAAATTGTTGAAATTCCCACAAAAATTAGACCATAGCTTGGAAATAATCAATAGGATGTAAACCATGAATTCGAGTTAGCGTGCATTAAAGACATAAATGCGCGAGACGATTTTAAAAAGAAGAAATAAAATACAGAAGTAATGACAAGGAATTCTAAACACCGGACAGCATGACATTCAATAGTCGGCATTTGTAATTCTCCAAAGGCTAATAAATCCTTATTGGGGCTTGTCTTAGGCAATAGTCAACAATTATACCAGATTTACGACAATATTTATTAGTATATTTAAGCGTTAAGCCAATTTAATTTATTCTAGTATTGATCATTCAGATGCATAATGAAAAGTATAAAGGAAAATGTTGCACCAACTACTTATGAATTTACAACCAGATAAGAAAATAGAGCCTACAGCGAAGGAAGCAGAAAGATATTTGAAATATGTTGATTTTTTTTCCACCGGTAAGAACAATGAAAATACGCTTTTGGATATGATGCATTTTCTCAATTGCATGCACGCAGATGCTGGCCCCAATACAGAAAAGGAGCGTAGAATCTGCAAAAAGGCATGTAAAAACAACAAAAGCAACAAATATGTGCTAGAACAAGTGACAGCCGACTCCTTAGAAAGGGCTAACGAAAAAGTACGCAATCACTTGAAAACCCACTTGATTAAAGACCGGCCTGTGCTAACCATAAAAGGCAGCACACCAGAAGACAAACAAAATAAAAGCGAAAAAAAGCTGCGGGATCTGGCCAACGCAATGGCCATAGCGCTTAGGATGCATGCATGCAGCCGCGAAGAGATGCAGCCTTATATTTTGGATGTGCGCAAGTCCCTAAACTCCGTAGAACGCGATGTGCGCCTAGATTTTGTCCGAAATAACCTCGCGGACATATGGAGGTACGCCCTTGTGGAAAATGGATGCAAGGAGGTAGTGCGTATTGACAGCTCCAAAAGTTTGTCGCTTGCTGTGCACAACGTAATGCAGCAACATTATATGCGCATGTACAGAATTCTTATGGATGCATGGGAAGTTACAGACCTAGAAATGTTCATTGCTGTTCTTCAGGCTGCCATGACAGGAGTTGTTCCCATAATGGTCATTTCTTGCTCTTCGAATGCTTCGGAGGAAACAGATTCGCTGCGATCGCGCGTCGCCAAGTGCTTTGACATGATGAAATGCACTTTTTGCAACATATATATGCTGCTTATTGGCAAGAGCCCGTCTTACTCCATAAACAGAAATGAGGTATACTATGGAGATATTTCAAGATGCTACGACAGCTACAACCCATATGAAGTTATATATGGCTGCGAATTCAACAATTTGGGCAGCCTAATCGAGGTTTGCAGACAGCAAAACATATATCCATTCTACATGAAAGAAAAAGAAGAAGTGAAGGTGGAAACAAAAGCAGAAATAGAACCAGAAGCAGGAGAAGAAAAAGAAGAAAACATTATAGACAGGCTTTTATACTATCTTGACATGCTAAAGGTTTTTGATGATCACAACCTCTTGGAATACCGTCACATCTGTAACGGAAATTATGTCAAAAGGAAGTATAAAAAGAGTCGTAAGTTTAGACCTTATGGGTTGTTTTTTAGGAAAACGTATCTTAATCTTTTCACCTTACGAATGAGCAATATGTTTTCGTGGATAAAAGGACTTGAGTGTGCAACGACTCATTCTTCCGGCAATCAGCCAAAGGGTGCAGAACCATGGGAATGCATTGACTCTAGGATACTAAAAGCCAATGAAAAACACATAAAGTGCAAGCCGGCGATGTATATGCATCAAAAAGTTATGAACGCTGCTCAAGCTATAACTTCCTTTGGAGCCGACCTATATCGTAGAGGAGCGTCTAGGTTCCAAAGTTGCTTTGCCATTGAAGAGCCGGAAACCATGGACAGTAAGGATTTGATCTACCACAAACAAATGAATGACGTGTTCAAATCATACCCAATTCACATCAAGCCACCCCTCTTCAAAATCGAAGACACGATATGTGAGCTAGAAGAGAACACGCTGAATTCCGAAACTTCGCTTAAGTTGTATCTAAAGATGGCAAAAATACTAAGACATCACTTCTGCTTGATTGATATATTGAAAAATGGATCCAATCAAGATCTGTCCAAGGTGGTCCGCATTGCTACCTGTATGAAAAAGGTGTTTAAGCGAGTTCTGAAAAACAATTTATATCTATACGTAATTTCCGACGCCAAGAAAGACCCTGTGCTAGCCCAGGAAAAATACAACCAGAATGAAACAAGGTTGTTGTCGAGAAGCGACTTATATTCCTTTATTCGGGATTTGATTTTTCTGTTTAGATTCCTTATACTTGCATGCATCCTTATATCCGTATTCTTCCTGGTTTTCTTTGTTTTTTATACCCGTGGTAATTTATTGAAATTCCCACAAAAATTAGACCATAGCTTGAAAACAATCAATAGGATGTAAAACATGAATTCGGGTTAGTGTGCATTAAAGACATAAATGCGCGAGACGATTTTAAAAAGAAGAAATAAAATACAGAAGTAATTTCAAGAAATTCTAAATACCGGACAGTATGACATTCAATAGTCGGCATTTGTAATTCTCCAAAGGCTAATAAATCCTTATTGGAGCTTGTCTTAGGCAATAGTCAACAATTATACCGGATTTACCACAATACCAATTTGCGCAGTTTTTTGTCATTTATACATGAGGCTTGTGGGAAGTGCAATAAGCATGCCCAGGTAAAAGCAGGCGCTGCTCTCGAGACTTTGGCAACAAAAGCCTATGAATAAAGTAAACATGGTTTTCTAGTTTAAGAAAAACATGCTGGCAACGATTGGTTGCGCATGGCAGTGCAATGCAAAATGAATGGGTGGCTGCACCAAACTTATGCTCGCGGATTTGCCGCTGCCTTTTGCAATCATCTGCAGTTTCTGCACTTTGGCTATCTCATGCACGGTTTCTGCATATAAATATATTTTCGCATTTTTTTCGCATGAGTTTACCCCCTTCTATTACGAAAAGGCTTAGAGCATGTCTTGGGTGCTCGCTTGTTATGGCGCAGAGCCAGTTTAAAGCTGAAGGGTGTCCAAACTGCCCTTCGCTTAATATGAAAGACAGCACGGATAACGTTTTAGACTGCACAACCGATCGGTATTCGGGCGTTATTGGGCTATGCGATGCAAAGACCTCGTGGGTTGCAAAGTGGCAGCACATGGACGGATTTGCGGTTGGGCTGTATGCTATGACCTTGGAGGGCGAGCTTCCGGAAAGCAAGATACTGGCTTTAGAACGAGCAGGGAGAACCTACTATCCCAGAAACAAGTCATTTGTCATATAAATAAAGCACCAAAGGCGAGTCAGCGCAATTGTAGAGCATGCGTTTCTGAATTTGCTGTCCAGCAAAATAACACCAGCGGAAACGCACAAAGCATTGCCGAACCAGCATATATTGACTGCACGGACTTCCAGGTGTACGCCGCATATTTCATAACAAATGCGCAATGTATATGCGCTTTGCTATATTTCTAGCCAGCATATCCCTAGAAAGAAAAATGTGCCGAGGAAAAAGCAGAAAGAATAAAATTGCACATAGAATCTCGTCAATTATTTATTCGTGGGAGAACCGCGGATATAAAGTTCTATATATCGCACTTTGATCAGAATTCTCATCGTGTTTGCTGTCTGTCTGGCTTTGCATTTGTTCTAGCGGTTTTCTATTATCTGTGCCGGTCTCTATGGCTGGGTATTTCGGATCATTCACTGCCTGCTCATATGAAGGAAGTTCTTGATTTTCTTGTGCCTCTACCTCTGCGCGGACACTAGAGCTTTCGTTGTATAGCGGAGGAGCAGATGGTATTGGCATCTGGGGCTCTGAATTTTGGCGTGGCTGTTTCTTTGTGAAAGGAAACTCATTTGGCATGCTTTCGCGCTGGGGCTTTATAGGTTTATGTGGCTCAGCATCTTCAATGTTTCTTCTGTTCTGATCGTAGTTTGAGTGTGCACGCGGTATTAGGCCACTTCTGTAGTCCATATTTTCCCTTTTATACTTGTTGTAGTCGCTTGTGGTATAGCTTTTATGCTCAAAATCGTTCTTTGAATGGCTGTATGTTCCTTCGTCTTTGGCTCGACAATTCGTACAAAGCTGGTATATATCTAATCTGACGAATCTTTTTACGATGATAAAAATGATAAGAATCAAAAGAGAAATGGCAAACCGAATTTTGTATGCTGTTCTGTTTCTGTCAGCCATGTTAATAAAATTTTGCCCCTTTTTATAACTAAATCAAAAAATCAGCAGCTGCATCAGAATGAAAAGGCTTGGAAAATATTTTTAAGGGTCTTTTGTGCTTCTATGTTAGCTGTATTCGCCACATGGCCTCTTTCCTAGAGCAACTCGTCAGCGGATGCATACATCCCAAAGATCTAGATAGCTGAGCCTTAACGCATTCCAAGAATCTTCTCTTCAGGCATCAGACCGAAAAGGGGTTTAAGGAACCAAGCATTCCTTAGAAAGCTCTAGGCGGATGCAATTTTGGCTGGAAGAGGCATCATGGAAAGCTTTCCGCTTTTCTGCCAAACACACGCGCTTTAATTTCTAGAGACTTCTATGCGTTTGTTCTAGAAGAAGCTTGATCTTTGCCAAAACTGGCATCTACCAATCCAATTCGCACAATTTTCTCATAAATCCCCATGCATGCTCTGCGCAGGCTTGCTAGAGCAATGCTGGCCTATTAAAGACATGCGAGGCTTTTCCTCATACATAATGGTTTGGCACAGCCTCGCCTTAAAATAAAATGTGGACGGCCATATTATTTTTGTAGAGTTTTTGACTGTGTTTTTGACTGTGTAAAGTGCTATACAATTTAAACAAAAGCATGCGAAGAGTTGTAATACTGGAAGTGCCAGTGAAACTGCAGCCTTTATTATTTCTCGGCCTGCCTATATAGACACTATTTAGTATATTCCTTAACATCTAAGCTATGCAGTCCCTCTAATTAGGCCCGTGTAAGCGATAACAATCACGAGCAATTATGCTTTCACTACACAACGTATAGTAGTGTCTTGTTGTGCTTGTTGTGCGAGTGCTTTCTTGGTTTATGGTTTGGCCTTTGTTTAGTTATTGCTTCTTGCATCCAGAAAAAAATATAATGTCTACATTGTGTAGAGTATAATTATGCACAGAGAGTGCGTGTTTATTGTGAAGATTTTATTTTATTTCTTTTTTGCACCACGCCCTAAAATGTATATTATCTAATTGTTTGCATTGTGTCTGATGTATACAGAGGCTTGAAACACGAAAAATGGGAAAACCCTGTATCAAAACAAAACAGACGCACTTTGGGAAGACTTTTAAAAAACAACTTTGCAGGTGCACACACAAATTCAGACTTGGATGAAAGAAGCCATCAGCTGCGCTGTCTGCGGCTTGGGAGCGCAAGCAACAGGGCAATGTGTGGTAGAACATCGGTCTAGGCCTTCATTGGTGTCTAGTGGAGGATAAACA